GCGATTTTCGCAGCTAGCGGCCAAAAACCATGCGATTTTCGCAGCTGGCGGGCAAAAATCGCTATTTTCGCCGCTACCGGCCAAAAATAGCGCGATTTTCGCCGCTAGGGGCCAAAAACCGTGCGATTTTCGCCGGTAGCGGCCAAAAATCGTGCGAATTTCGCCGCTAGTGACCAAAAATCGCGCGATTTTCGCCTCTAGCGGCCAGAAACTATGCGATTTTTGCAGCTTGCGGGCAAAAATAGCGCGATTTTTGCTGCTAAGTGCCAAAAACCGCGCGATTTTCGCAGCTAGCGGCCAAAAACCATGCGATTTTCGCAGCTGGCGGCAAAAATCGCTATTTTCGCCGCTACCGGCCAAAAATAGCGCGATTTTCGCCGCTAGGGGCCAAAAACCGTGCGATTTTCGCCGGTAGCGGCCAAAAATCGTGCGAATTTCGCCGCTAGTGACCAAAAATCGCGCGATTTTCGCCGCTAGCGCCCAAAAACCATGCGATTTTCGCAGCTGGCGGGCAAAAATCGCGATTTTCGCCGCTACCGGCCAAAAACAGCGCGATTTTCGCCGCTAGCGGCCAAAAACCGTGCGATTTTCGCCGCTAGCGGCCAGAAACTATGCGATTTTTGCAGCTGGCGGGCAAAAATAGCGCGATTTTCGCCGCTACCGGCCAAAAACCGCGCGATTTTCGCCGCTAGCGGCCAAAAACTATGCGATTTTCGCAGCTGGCGGGCAAAAATCGCTATTTTCGCCGCTACCGGCCAAAAATAGCGCGATTTTCGCCGCTAGCGGCCAAAAACCGTGCGATTTTCGCCGCTAGCGGCCAGAAACTATGCGATTTTTGCAGCTGGCGGGCAAAAATAGCGCGATTTTCGCCGCTACCGGCCAAAAACCGCGCGATTTTCGCCGCTAGCGGCCAAAAACCATGCGATTTTCGCAGCTGGCGGGCAAAAATCACGATTTTCGCCGCTACCGGCCAAAAATAATGCGATTTTCGCCGCTAGCGGCCAAAAACCGTGCGAATTTCGCCGCTAGCGGCGAAAAATCGCGCGATTTTCGCCTCTAGCGGCCAGAAACTATGCGATTTTTGCAGCTTGCGGGCAAAAATAGCGCGATTTTTGCTGCTACCGGCCAAAAACCGCGCGATTTTCGTCGCTAGCGCCCAAAAACCATGCGATTTTCGCAGCTGGCGGGCAAACATCGCGATTTTCGCCGCTACCGGCCAAAAATAGCGCGATTTTCGCCGCTAGCGGCCAAAAACCGTGCGAATTTCGCCGCTACCGGCCAAAAACAGCGCGATTTTCGCCGCTAGCGGCCAGAAACTATGCGATTTTTGCAGCTGGCGGGTAAAAATCGCGCGAATTTCGCCGCTACCTGCCAAAAACCGCGCGATTTTCGCCGCTAGCGGCCAAAAACCATGCGATTTTCGCAGCTGGCGGGCAAAAATCGCGATTTTCGCCGCTACCGGCCAAAAATAGCGCCATTTTCGCCGCTAGCGGCCAAAAACCGTGCGATTTTTGCCGCTAGCGGCCAAAAATCGGGCGATTTTTGCCGCTAACGGCCGAAAACCGCGCTATTTTCGACGCTAGCGGCCAGAAACCATGCGATTTTTGCAGCTGGCGGGCAAAAATAGCGCGATTTTCGCCGCTACCGGCCAAAAACCGCGCGATTTTCGCCGCTAGCGCTCAAAAACCATGCGATTTTCGCAGCTGGCGGGCAAAAATCGCGATTTTCGCCGCTACCGGCCAAAAATAGCGCGATTTTTGCCGCTAGCGGCCAAAAACCGTGCGAATTTCGCCGCTAGCGGCGAAAAATCGCGCGATTATCGCCGCTAGCGGCCAGAAACTATTCGATTTTTGCAGCTGGAGGGCAAAAATAGCGCGATTTTCGCTGCTACCGGCCAAAAACCGCGCGATTTTCGCCGCTAGCGACCAAAAACCATGCGATTTTCGCCGCTAGCGGCCAAAAATCGGGCGATTTTTGCAGCTGGCGGGCAAAAATCGCGATTTTCGCCGCTACCGGCCAAAAATAGCGCGATTTTCGCCGCTAGCGGCCAAAAACCGTGCGATTTTCGCCGCTAGCGGCCAAAAATCGGGCGATTTTTGCAGCTGGCGGCCAAAAATCGCGCGAATTTCGCCCCTACTTGCCAAAAATCGACCGATTTTCGCCGCTAGCGGCCAAAAAAGGGGCTATTTTCGCCGCTAGCGGCCAAAAATGGGGAGATTTTCGCCGCTAGCGGCCAAAAATCGTGCAAATTTCGCCGCTAGCGGCCAAAAATCGTGCGATTTTCGCAGCTAGCGGGCAAAAATCGCAATTTTTTTACCGCTACTGGCCAAAAATAGCGCGATTTTCGCCGCTAGTGGCCAAAAATCGTGCGATTTTCGCCGCTAGCGGCCAAAAATCGGCGATTTTTGCCGCTAACGGCCGAAAACCGCGCGATTTTCGCCGCTAGCGGCCAGAAACTATGCGATTTTTGCAGCTGGCGGGCAAAAATAGCGCGATTTTCGCCGCTACCGGCCAAAAACCGCGCGATTTTCGCCGCTAGCGGCCAAAAACCATGCGATTTTCGCAGCTGGCGGGCAAAAATCACGATTTTCGCCGCTACCGGCCAAAAATAATGCGATTTTCGCCGCTAGCGGCCAAAAACCGTGCGAATTTCGCCGCTAGCGGCGAAAAATCGCGCGATTTTCGCCTCTAGCGGCCAGAAACTTTGCGATTTTTGCAGCTTGCGGGCAAAAATAGCGCGATTTTTGCTGCTACCGGCCAAAAACCGCGCGATTTTCGTCGCTAGCGCCCAAAAACCATGCGATTTTCGCAGCTGGCGGGCAAACATCGCGATTTTCGCCGCTACCGGCCAAAAATAGCGCGATTTTCGCCGCTAGCGGCCAAAAACCGTGCGAATTTCGCCGCTAGCGGCGAAAAATCGCGTGATTTTCGCCGCTAGCGGCCAGAAACTATGCGATTTTTGCAGCTGGCGGGTAAAAATCGCGCGAATTTCACCGCTACCTGCCAAAAACTGCGCGATTTTCGCCGCTAGCGGCCAAAAACCATGCGATTTTCGCAGCTGGCGGGCAAAAATCGCGATTTTCGCCGCTACCGGCCAAAAATAGCGCGATTTTCGCCGCTAGTGGCCAAAAACCGTGCGATTTTCGTCGCTAGCGGCCAAAAATCGGGCGATTTTTGCCGCTAACGGCCGAAAACCGCGCTATTTTCGACGCTAGCGGCCAGAAACCATGCGATTTTTGCCGCTGGCGGCCAAAAATCGCGCGAATTTCGCTGCTACCTGCCAAAAATCGACGGATTTTTGCCGCTACCTACCAAAAATCGACGGATTTTCGCCGCTAGCGGCCAAAAAAGGGGCTATTTTCGCCGCTAGCGGCCAAAAATGGGGCGATTTTCGCCGCTAGCGGCCAAAAATGGGGCGATTTTCGCCGCTAGCGGCCAAAAATGGGGCGATTTTCGCCGCTAGCTAACTCTGTTTTCAGGTTACAGTTGTGTGTGTGTGTAAACTAAAGTCTTTGAAAATGTAATAAGTTATTACAAAACGCGTTCAAGCATCGCGTCAGACTAGAAATAAAAATGAATTTTGGACGATTGATTTTTCAATTACCATCAACAGTAAAAAGAAACATAAGAGAATATTCGTGTTAGAATTATTAATCTTACTTTTTCGGTCATATTTAGCATTATATATATATATATATATATATATATAAGACATATATATATAAAATTATATAATTAGCGCCCGTGGAAGGGTGGCAGACAGTTGGCGTGGGACTATACTTGCGTATCCACCCTGTCAACCACATACATCAACCTCTCTGCTGGCCAAGCAGGAGCAGCGGCAATACACACAGAAAGATGCACGTCAAGTTCAGGGAATTAGATCATTGGTACAACTTCGTTCCAATGGGGTCTGAGACCCTAAGCCCATGGGGAGAGAGTGCAAGAAGGTTTCTTAAGGATGTTGGTTCCAAGCTCATTGACACTACAAGATACCCTAGAGCGGCAAGTTTTCTCTTTCAGCGCCTCAGTGTCGCGATCCAGAGGGGAAATGCCCGCTGTATCCTCTGTTCCTGCCTGGCGTCGGAGGAGTTCGAAGAAATCTACAGTCTCTAGGAATCAAACTTTTTCTTGTGTCCTCTCAAAGTTCGTTTTTTGTATAAAATCAGATATATAACTGTATAACCTTGCATAATAAAGTGTACACCATAAAAAAGGGGGGTGGTAGGAGAAGCGAACACTCATACGTATTCAGAGTTAAATGACAAATTTTACTCTGAATGCTCTGTGTTCCCTTCTTTGAGGCTGTGGGTTCCTATAATTTCACCAGAGGTGGTACCCCCCCCCCTGTGATAGATAGTTGACCTTTGTAACTAATTATAATATATATATATATATATATATATATATATATATATATATATATATATATATATATATATATATATATATATGTCGTACCTAATAGCCAGAACGCACTTCTCAGCCAACTATGCATGGTATAATTTGCCTAATAAGCCAAGTTTTCATGAATTAATGTTTTTTCGACTACCTAACCTACCTAACCTAACCTAACCTAACTTATTCTGCTACCTAACCTAACCTAACCGATAGAGATAGGTTAGGTAGGGTTGGTTAGGTTCGGTCATATATCTACGTTAATTTTAACTCCAATAAAAAATTTTTACCTCATACATAATGAAATGGGTAGCTTTATCATTTCATAAGAAAAAAATTAGAAAAAATATATTAATTCAGGAAAACTTGGCTTATTAGGCAAATCGGGCCTTGCATAGTAGGCTGAGAAGTGCGTTCTGGCTATTAGGTACGACATATATATATATATATATATATATATATATATATATATATATATATATATATATATATATATATATATATATATATATATATATATATATATATATTATATAAATATACATACACATACACATCCTTTGAGAAAACGTAATTTTATTTGGAAGATTAACAAGCGCTGTGATGAAAATCTGTAATAACTTGCAAGGTTTCTGAGAACGTATCTCCATTATCTAGACCAAGAAGAGGCAATAAAGCTAATAATAAAATTAGGTTTTCTTGATAAAATATTCACATAAAATATTCTAATTTAAACCAATTTTGAAACCTACAATGAAAAAACTATCAAAATATTAAATACCTAACTATTGTCAAAGTAATTTACCATAAAAACTCTAATAGGAAATATTAGTTTGCTGCATAACATTTTGCGTAAATATTGGCATAGAAGAAATCGAGTAATTTAACCGAGACTGTTGAACAAATGCATAACATCAGACCTAAGTCAATGGCGCATGGGATCCAACCTCATTAGAAAGGTCCAGGATGTCTAAGTCTCCACCATCATAGTCCAGGACCGCTTGGCTTTCACCACGCAAGTCCAGGATCTCCCAGCCTCTATCATCCCTGTCTCTCAGCCTCGTTCACACCTGTGGGGGATCTCTTAGCGTCCACGCCTCTCCAGTCTACCCAGCTTCTAACCTACACAAATCCTCCAACAAACAACGATGGTCGAGCAAACTCTGGGGATCCTTCACGGTCCACAAAATGGTGACTAGTTGAGAGAGCTGTCTCCTTATTCCCAGTTCCATACCGAGTAACTTGTCGGTCTCAACCCTGCAACATCGACCTACATCGTCGCCTTGTACATGCAGCTGGCTTGCCAACAGGCATACTGTGTTGGCATACTGGCCTTCCATGCTCTACTTCCAGCATACCGCATTTGTTCTAAGTGATCTCCACTGGTTTAATGGCATTTTAAACTAGGACAGACCCCTGCTCCTTTCACCCGCCCGTCTCATACAATTCCGATGGCCACTGTGCCTCTCCCAACCCTTGCATCTCTGCCAGATCCCTCTCCGCGCCAGCCTCTTTTTAATCATCCAGCTCTCGCGTTACCAGTAGCCAGCCCAATGTCCTATCAAGACACATCTCTTCCATATCCTTCAATCCTGGCTGACATCACTCAGTCCACTCTGCCGGCCTCTACACTATTCCCCTCCCCCGCCACTAACCCCATCTTCCCGCTACAGATGAGGGTTACAACGGACTGCAGGTGATGAGTCTACACCGGGAGCTGCCACCGCCCTATCAGCCCTACCAACCGTCAGGAGAGGCGCGTTACATCCCGGACGAAGACTACATCGCGCCCGCGCTCTTCAACCCGCCGTTCCCAGTCCAGCCTACCCGGTCCCACTCTTCCAGCAACTATCTCACCAACTCTAACACCAACTCCGAGACTCACGCCACAGAACACGCCAACTCTCGCTCTCCTGTGGAGAGTGAAGGGCCCGACTTCCGCTATGATGACGGCACCAAGGTACTACTCGTCAATAACTTCGATTAAGATTGATGAGAATTTGTTATTGAATCCGGATATTGTTTACTTAAGTGTATCCTTAAAAGGTGACATGCAATAAAAAAAATTGAATCTATTATACAATCAAAATGCTATGTAGTTTTTTCGGCTTGGCACCTTCTTTATGATAAGTCATTTACATTTTCGTATTAGTTTTCTTGCCAAGAAAGCACGTTATAATTATAAAGCAGGACGTCTACGCCCAGTCTGTCTGGTGGTTTAACTTTCTGGCTCACGGCACGAGTTATAATTATAGTCAGTACAAAGACTCAAGCACGGCTCGCCCGGCCTCGTTCTCCTTCGTACTGACCATACCACGTCTGCTTCAATTTTTGCTGTCAAGGATTTTTGGACTAATTCTATACATTTCCAACATGCTAAATTCAAATCAAGAATCGGTTTCCGGTGATCAGCTAAAGTTTTCTAGCTATCTCCTTTCTTTTAAATAAAGCCTTTTTTTTTGTCAGTATTTTTGGAATCATATTGGAAGAGCAAGGTTTTGCTCTTTATACATGTAAATGCATTGAAAAAGCGTTGAAATGCAACGTAAACTCCCTACGTTTTGGTGTTCTGATGGTGTGGAATGAAGAATCATGTGACGGAACGCCATTATTACGCACACCCGAGTAATTTTTTGCATCTTATAAAGGAAATACTTAGTTTCCAACGGATATAGTTTAGTGGATAAATAATGAAAGTAGGGATTAGATGTGGAAGCTTCCTACTGTTGTGTATTATGAGGTCCGCTTCTACACACGACGTTGTGATTGATAATAAATTATGCACTCACTAACTTCCTATCTGACACACGAAATACAACAGAGACATTACACACTACACGACACAACTGCATACAACACACACACACACACACACACACACACACATATATAGCAAAATACGACATAAACCATGCATAAAAGAAATCCCCCAAACAACCTAACTACATACAGGTACACAACAACTAATAACGCTGAATAACTAATGGTTCTAGCACAGGGCTGGACCCCCCCCCCCCACACACACAAAGTTAAGAGACGCATCACACCCAGACTTTCCACACAAAGATATTACCTGTGTTACTGAATGAAGCTCGATAGGCAAGGTACAACTCTGTCAATGTGTTCAACTTTGTCATCAAGTTGTGCTTATTAAAACGACATAAGGGTTTGTGGAGAAATTGTGCAACAACAGTGATGTTCCACACGTCTATTGCAATGAGGCAATGTGGAGACAAATTTCAACGTTGCGCTTGGTGTCCAGAGCAGGAAAAACTACTTATTATTTTCTGGTTATTTATGATTTTCTGAGAAAAGGAGCGTAAATAAGAAATAAACCTCTTTGAAATAAAACAAAATATTGCATGTAACCTTTAAGGGTTTGCCAGATTTTGTCACTAAACCGGATATCGATATTTATTTTTTTAAAACCAAATTTCAACACGTAACCAATCCTCCTTATTGAATGTTTGGGGCATTTTGTCACTATTCTACCCCTCTCCCTTTCCCCTCTCTCGCCTCCCCAACACATTGGCCACCTCTCAGAAACCGACGGACCGAGTCAAGGAAGTGGTCACTGTAGGTCAGTAGAGGCCGAGGTCGCCCCCCCCCCCCCCACACACACACACACACACACACACACACACACACACACACACACACACACACACACACACACACACACACACACACAGAAGCCCACTAACTTGTGATCCCTCCCCACGACAGACTGACTGTGTAATGGGCGAGTGGGGCCCGTGGTCGCCCTGTACCCACTCCTGCGGCCCCGAGGCTCTCCAGCAACGCTCCAGAAACATTATCGTCCAACCACGCAATGGGGGAGTAGAGTGTGGTGACCGCTACGAGAGGCGCTACTGTACCTTGCCTCCGTGTCCCCATCCCAGGTACGTCCCCCTCGTAGTCCCCACCTATCCCTGGTACGTTTCTACATAGTCCACATTCTAGGTACGTCCCCCTCACAATACCCATCCCCAGGTACGTTCCCACATTAGAGGTGATGTACCTGGGATGACGACTGACATTCAGTTTACTCACAAAAGACAAACCAAAAGCTCTAGATAGGTTCGGAATAAAAGACGCGGTCAGAGATTTTGTGTATAAAGTTACAGTAAACAGCAAAGATGTTGCAATAATACTGTCAGCTGATGTGAAGTTTACCGAGCCACAACCGAGCGAGCATGGCATCAGGAAGAACGAGTGTAACACATACTCTGATTTTTTTTTTGAGATATATACAAGAGTTGTTACATTCTATGATGACTCAGCGTATAGGTTCGAACCCTCATCAACGCTCCTATGTGGATTTGTTCATCGATATATCACTTTAATGTGTTTCTCTCTGTATACTATGACATGCCTTGAAAAATCACACTTTTGATTAAATGCCTCAAAGTCTGTGTGTGTATCCAATGAAGTGGTATGCACATTGCTTCGATTTCGCTTCTTGCAATGTCAGCATTCGATCCTACATATTCCAAATGATTGAAGCAACATGGGGAGTAGAAATAGCCTAAGCTACTCTATCCCTTTAAGATGTACTTTTTTCTTGTCTCAATAAACATACTTGAACTTGAAGCAACGTTCCTTCTCTCTATCCTAGTATCCCGGCGTCTTATTCTCTTATCTTTCCCCAAATGATATATTCATATAATCAAAATGATCAAGCAGTTTTTCCAATTACTAGGCTTCAAACACTGGCGATCTCTGTACTAGGCTTCAAACACTGGCGATCTCTGTACTAGGCTTCAAACACTGGCGATCTCTGTACTAGGCTTCAAACACTGGCGATCTCTGTACTAGGCTTCAAACACTGGCGATCTCTGTACTAGGCTTCAAACACTGGCGATCTCTGTACTAGGCTTCAAACACTGGCGATCTCTGTACTAGGCTTCAAACACTGGCGATCTCTGTACTAGGCTTCAAACACTGGCGATCTCTGTACTAGGCTTCAAACACTGGCGATCTCTGTACTAGGCTTCAAACACTGGCGATCTCTGTACTAGGCTTCAAACACTGGCGATCTCTGTACTAGGCTTCAAACACTGGCGATCTCTGTACTAGGCTTCAAACACTGGCGATCTCTGTACTAGGCTTCAAACACTGGCGATCTCTGTACTAGGCTTCAAACACTGGCGATCTCTGTACTAGGCTTCAAACACTGGCGATCTCTGTACTAGGCTTCAAACACTGGCGATCTCTGTACTAGGCTTCAAACACTGGCGATCTCTGTACTAGGCTTCAAACACTGGCGATCTCTGTACTAGGCTTCAAACACTGGCGATCTCTGTACTAGGCTTCAAACACTGGCGATCTCTGTACTAGGCTTCAAACACTGGCGATCTCTGTACTAGGCTTCAAACACTGGCGATCTCTGTACTAGGCTTCAAACACTGGCGATCTCTGTACTAGGCTTCAAACACTGGCGATCTCTGTACTAGGCTTCAAACACTGGCGATCTCTGTACTAGGCTTCAAACACTGGCGATCTCTGTACTAGGCTTCAAACACTGGCGATCTCTGTACTAGGCTTCAAACACTGGCGATCTCTGTACTAGGCTTCAAACACTGGCGATCTCTGTACTAGGCTTCAAACACTGGCGATCTCTGTACTAGGCTTCAAACACTGGCGATCTCTGTACTAGGCTTCAAACACTGGCGATCTCTGTACTAGGCTTCAAACACTGGCGATCTCTGTACTAGGCTTCAAACACTGGCGATCTCTGTACTAGGCTTCAAACACTGGCGATCTCTGTACTAGGCTTCAAACACTGGCGATCTCTGTACTAGGCTTCAAACACTGGCGATCTCTGTACTAGGCTTCAAACACTGGCGATCTCTGTACTAGGCTTCAAACACTGGCGATCTCTGTACTAGGCTTCAAACACTGGCGATCTCTGTACTAGGCTTCAAACACTGGCGATCTCTGTACTAGGCTTCAAACACTGGCGATCTCTGTACTAGGCTTCAAACACTGGCGATCTCTGTACTAGGCTTCAAACACTGGCGATCTCTGTACTAGGCTTCAAACACTGGCGATCTCTGTACTAGGCTTCAAACACTGGCGATCTCTGTACTAGGCTTCAAACACTGGCGATCTCTGTACTAGGCTTCAAACACTGGCGATCTCTGTACTAGGCTTCAAACACTGGCGATCTCTGTACTAGGCTTCAAACACTGGCGATCTCTGTACTAGGCTTCAAACACTGGCGATCTCTGTACTAGGCTTCAAACACTGGCGATCTCTGTACTAGGCTTCAAACACTGGCGATCTCTGTACTAGGCTTCAAACACTGGCGATCTCTGTACTAGGCTTCAAACACTGGCGATCTCTGTACTAGGCTTCAAACACTGGCGATCTCTGTACTAGGCTTCAAACACTGGCGATCTCTGTACTAGGCTTCAAACACTGGCGATCTCTGTACTAGGCTTCAAACACTGGCGATCTCTGTACTAGGCTTCAAACACTGGCGATCTCTGTACTAGGCTTCAAACACTGGCGATCTCTGTACTAGGCTTCAAACACTGGCGATCTCTGTACTAGGCTTCAAACACTGGCGATCTCTGTACTAGGCTTCAAACACTGGCGATCTCTGTACTAGGCTTCAAACACTGGCGATCTCTGGCATTCAACACTGCTAACTCCATTACCTTTGAGGGCAAGAGATTTTTAAGCGTGAAAGCATAAAAGCATTAATGCCCCTTTTTCATAGATGAAGCAAAACTGACATTCGTAATCTCTGAAAGGAGAACTGGAGACACGTCACGCAATATCTTTTTGGCAAAACAGTTGAAGTTGTCCCTTATTTGCGCGTAGCAAATTAAGAGGTTCCTTTAAATACGCTTAGTGAATACTTTTTGAGCATCAGAGATCCATTACTCTTCATCCGTCTCCTGGCATATATCATAAATATTATTCGAACGAAGACCGATGGCCGCAAGAGATATATAGACAAGTTTTGCAGGGAGTGCATGAGACCATTTGGTCATCATTTGGTCCGGGAGACATCTCCCGTCACGCAGGGTGCAGTCGCACCTCCACAGAGCTCCAGTATCAGCTCTTGATACTGGTAATGGCTCAAAAGGGCCACCACTTACGGGCTATTCATGCCCGTGTCACCTTTTGGGTGGCTTAATCTTCATCAATCATCAATCGGAGTGCATGATCTAGTGGGCTGTGATAACGATGGGGGAGACCAACTTGGCACGAGCAGCAAGTGTGGGGAAGAAAATAAAAAAGCTGCAATCCTACGGCAGGTCAATAATTTATTTATTTATTTATTTATATATATACAAGAAGATACATTGGGTTTGTGAGAATACATTGGATAGTACAGTAATTACATTCTTGTAAAGCCACTAGTACGCGCAGCGTTTCGGGCAGGTCAAAATTGATGTCCTCCCCCACTGCCACTCCTACACCAAGTACTTCCTCCCCCACTGCCACTCCTACACCAAGTACTTCCTCCCCCACGGCCACTCCTACACCAAGTACTTCCTCCCCCACTGCCACTCCTACACCAAGTACTTCCTCCCCCACTGCCACTCCTACACCAAGTACTTCCTCCCCCACTGCCACTCCTACACCAAGTACTTCCTCCCCCACTGCCACTCCTACACCAAGTACTTCCTCACCCACTGCCACTCCTACACCAAGTACTTCCTCCCCCACTGCCACTCCTACACCAAGTACTTCCTCCCCCACTGCCACTCCTACACCAAGTACTTCCTCCCCCACTGCCACTCCTACACCAAGTACTTCCTCCCCCACTGCCACTCCTACACCAAGTACTTCCTCCCCCACTGCCACTCCTACACCAAGTACTTCCTCCCCCACTGCCACTCCTACACCAAGTACTTCCTCCCCCACTGCCACTCCTACACCAAGTACTTCCTCCCCCACTGCCACTCCTACACCAAGTACTTCCTCCCCCACTGCCACTCCTACACCAAGTACTTCCTCCCCCACTGCCACTCCTACACCAAGTACTTCCTCCCCCACTGCCACTCCTACACCAAGTACTTCCTCCCCCACTGCCACTCCTACACCAAGTACTTCCTCCCCCACTGCCACTCCTACACCAAGTACTTCCTCCCCCACTGCCACTCCTACACCAAGTACTTCCTCCCCCACTGCCACTCCTACACCAAGTACTTCCTCACCCACTGCCACTCCTACACCAAGTACTTCCTCCCCCACTGCCACTCCTACACCAAGTACTTCCTCACCCACTGCCACTCCTACACCAAGTACTTCCTCCCCCACTGCCACTCCTACACCAAGTACTTCCTCCCCCACTGCCACTCCTACACCAAGTACTTCCTCCCCCACTGCCACTCCTACACCAAGTACTTCCTCCCCCACTGCCACTCCTACACCAAGTACTTCCTCACCCACTGCCACTCCTACACCAAGTACTTCCTCCCCCACTGCCACTCCTACACCAAGTACTTCCTCCCCCACTGCCACTCCTACACCAAGTACTTCCTCCCCCACTGCCACTCCTACACCAAGTACTTCCTCCCCCACTGCCACTCCTACACCAAGTACTTCCTCCCCCACTGCCACTCCTACACCAAGTACTTCCTCCCCCACTGCCACTCCTACACCAAGTACTTCCTCCCCCACTGCCACTCCTACACCAAGTACTTCCTCCCCCACTGCCACTCCTACACCAAGTACTTCCTCCCCCACTGCCACTCCTACACCAAGTACTTCCTCCCCCACTGCCACTCCTACACCAAGTACTATCCGACACGCCTACCACCGCAGAAATGTGCCCCCCCACACCAGATACATTCTATGCTATCATGATCACACCAGGAACGTCCCGACAACTGTCCTTAACTCGGTATATGGTCTCCAACCATTGTCCCCTACCATTACCCATCCCCACCCTTGTTAGGTCCCCACAGCACCGATCTCTACCTTGTTAGAGATCGGTGCTGTGGGGCCCTAACACGGTGGAGATCGGTGCTGTGGGGCCCTAACACGGTGGAGATCGGTGCTGTGGGGCCCTAACACGGTGGAGATCGGTGCTGTGGGGCCCTAACATGGTGGAGATCGGTGCTGTGGGGCCCTAACACGGTGGAGATCGGTGCTGTGGGGCCCTAACACGGTGGAGATCGGTGCTGTGGGGCCCTAACACGGTGGAGATCGGTGCTGTGGGGCCCTAACACGGTGGAGATCGGTGCTGTGGGGCCCTATCTTGTTAGGGCCCTGTTATCCCTATCTCCACCGTGTTAGGGCCCCACAGCACCGATCTCCACCTTGCTAGGGCCCCACAGCACCGATCTCCACCTTGCTAGGGCTCCACAGCACCGACCTCCACCTTGCTAGGGCCCCACAGCACCGATCTCCACCGTGTTAGGGCCCCACAGCACCGATCTCCACCTTGCTAGGGCCCCACAGCACCGATCTCCACCTTGCTAGGACCCCACAGCACCGATCTCCACCATGTTAGGGCCCCACAGCACCGATCTCCACCGTGTTAGGGCCCCACAGCACCGATCTCCACCGTGTTAGGGCCCCACAGCACCGATCTCCACCTTGCTAGGGCCCCACAGCACCGATCTCCACCATGTTAGGGCTCCACAGCACCGATCTCCACCATGTTAGGGCCCCACAGCACCGACCTCCACCTTGCTAGGACCCCACAGCACCGACCTCCACCTTGTTAGGGCTCCACAGCCCCGATCTCCACCATGTTAGGGCCCCACAGCACCGATCTCCACCGTGTTAGGGCCCCACAGCACCGATCTCCACCATGTTAGGGCCCCACAGCACCGACCTCCACCTTGCTAGGACCCCACAGCACCGATCTCCACCTTGCTAGGACCCCACAGCACCGATCTCCACCTTGCTAGGGCTCCACAGCCCCGACCTCCACCTTGCTAGGGCTCCACAGCACCGATCTCCACCTTGCTAGGGCTCCACAGCACCGACCTCCACCTTGCTAGGGCTCCACAGCACCGACCTCCACCTTGCTAGGGCCCCACAGCACCGACCTCCACCTTGTTAGGACCCCACAGCACCGACCTCCACCTTGCTAGGACCCCACAGCCCCGACCTCCACCTTGCTAGGGCTCCACAGCACCGACCTCCACCTTGCTAGGACCCCACAGCACCGATCTCCACCTTGTTAGGACCCCACAGCACCGACCTCCACCTTGCTAGGACCCCACAGCACCGATCTCCACCTTGCTAGGGCTCCACAGCCCCGACCTCCACCTTGCTAGGGCTCCACAGCACCGATCTCCACCTTGCTAGGGCTCCACAGCACCGACCTCCACCTTGCTAGGGCTCCACAGCACCGACCTCCACCTTGCTAGGGCCCCACAGCACCGATCTCCACCTTGCTAGGGCTCCACAGCACCGACCTCCACCTTGCTAGGGCTCCACAGCACCGACCTCCACCTTGCTAGGGCCCCACAGCACCGACCTCCACCTTGCTAGGGCTCCACAGCACCGACCTCCACCTTGCTAGGGCTCCACAGCACCGACCTCCACCTTGCTAGGGCTCCACAGCCCCGATCTCCACCATGTTAGGGCCCTACAGCACCGACCTCCACCTTGCTAGGGCTCCACAGCACCGACCTCCACCTTGCTAGGGCCCCACAGCACCGACCTCCACCTTGCTAGGGCTCCACAGCACCGACCTCCACCTTGCTAGGGCCCCACAGCACCGACCTCCACCTTGCTAGGGCTCCACAGCACCGACCTCCACCTTGCTAGGGCTCCACAGCCCCGATCTCCACCATGTTAGGGCTCCACAGCCCCGATCTCCACCATGTTAGGGCCCTACAGCACCGACCTCCACCTTGCTAGGGCTCCACAGCACCGACCTCCACCTTGCTAGGGCCCCACAGCACCGAGCTCTACCCTTGTTAGGTCACACTTGCAACCTCCACACCACAGGTACACCATCAATATTGGTTCTCTGAACAATCCAGTCCCAGATACGCCCATCATTCTTAATAAGTGCTCCCCTTGCCTCGCAAGTGCTCCCCTTGCCTCGCAAGTGCTCCCCTTGCCTCGCAAGTGCTCCCCTTGCCTCGCAAGTGCTCCCCTTGCCTCGCAAGTGCTCCCCTTGCCTCGCAAGTGCTCCCCTTGCCTCGCAAGTGCTCCCCTTGCCTCGCAAGTGCTCCCCTTGCCTCGCAAGTGCTCATCAGTACAGGAAAGAGATTCCCTTCTCAGGCCTCTCGACTCTTATGGCTTTAGGAATCGCGGGTTTTATTTTGTTCGTATAAAAAAAATAAAATAAAATAAAAAAATCAAGATCATAATGTTCTGGTGGGAGTATATGGCGTAGCCACTTGCGTGTGTGGGGATCTTAATATACTGTATAGAAGCCATCATAGTTGTTTGTCACATGTGTGTCTTCTTTAATCGTGACCCTCTTGAGTTTTCTGCCTGTGGTGGGTCCAAGGTCCAAACATGCGTTTGTGTGCGTTTGTTTGCTGTTATTGTTTTGAGTTCAATAAATCCTAAACAACTAATTTTAAGTTATTCTTGTCTGTGTGTGTGTGAGAGAGATTGTATATGTGTATGTTTGTACGTATGCTAACCTGCTTTTGTTTGTGGAGATTGAGCTTTAGAGTCTTACCTCTCAACCATTTGCATATCAATCCATTAATGTAACATCACTTGTATGTATATACCTTACCTGAATAAACATCTGAATCTGAATCTCAAACATCTGATTTAGCCAACTAGTGTCTAGTTTTCCGAGGCTATTGAGTGCTTCATACACCCATTTGAAGAGGAGTAAGGAGTCTGTACCTACTTCTTTACCAATATGTCGTTGAATGTCCTGCATATTCTTGTAAGAATGTTATATGTTGTAATCATGTCTCCCCAGACTATATTTCTCTTCTACAGGTGCGAGGTTTAAATCTTTCAATCTTTCCTCGTAACTCATACCTATCAGCTCTAGGATTAGTCTGTCTGACTTCATTAGGACTTTTTACTGGCGTTGAATATTCCAGAAGAAATATTGTGTTTGTGTGTGTTTACATTTATTGTTTCATACCTTTCATGTGTACACCTTTTCCTCTTCCCATTCATGTACACAATCTTCATCCCGTGTACTCTCCTAATTGTGCTTCCGGGGGTTGAGCTTTGGCTCTTTGGTCCCGCCTCTCAACTGTCAATCAACTGGTGTACAGATTCCTGAGCCTATTGGGCTCTATCATATCTACATTTGAAACTGTGTATGGAGTCAGCCTCCACCACATCACTTCCTAGTGCATTCCATTTATTAACTACTCTGACACTGAAAAAATCTTTCTAACGTCTCTGTGGCTCATCTGGGTACTAAGTTTCCACCTGTGTCCCCTTGTTCTTGTCCCCCGTGTGTATCCGTACACTGGCTCCCCTGTACCCCAGCGTCTGTACACTGGCTCCTCTGTACCCCAGCATCCATATACCGGCTCCCCTGTACCCCAGCGTCTGTACACTGGCTCCCCTGTACCCCAGCGTCTGTACACTGGCTCCCCTGTACCCCAGCATCTGTACACTGGCTCCCCTGTACCCCAGCGTCTGTACACCAGTACCTCTATACCCAGTGTCTGTACACCAGTACCTCTATACCCGTGTCTGTACACCTGTACCTCTATACCCGTGTCTGTACACCAGTACCTCTATACCCGTGTCTGTACACCTGTACCTCTATACCCGTGTCTGTACACCAGTACCTCTATACCCAGCGTCTGTACACCTGTACCTCTATACCCGTGTCTGTACACCAGTACCTCTATACCCGTGTCTGTACACCTGTACCTCTATACCCGTGTCTGTACACCAGTACCTCTATACCCAGTGTCTGTACACCTGTACCTCTATACCCGTGTCTGTACACCTGTACCTCTATACCAGTGTCTGTACACCTGTACCTCTATACCCGTGTCTGTACACCAGTACCTCTATACCCATGTCTGTACACCTGTACCTCTATACCCGTGTCTGTACACCTGTACCTCTATACCCGTGTCTGTACACCAGTTCCTCTATACCCGTGTCTGTACACCTGTACCTCTATACCCGTGTCTGTACACCTGTACCTCTATACCCGTGTCTGTACACCTGTACCTCTATACCCAGTGTCTGTACACCTGTACCTCTATACCCAGTGTCTGTACACCTGTACCTCTATACCAGTGTCTGTACACCTGTACCTCTATACCCAGTGTCTGTACACCTGTACCTCTATACCCAGTGTCTGTACACCTGTACCTCTATACCCAGTGTCTGTACACCTGTACCTCTATACCCAGTGTCTGTACACCTGTACCTCTATACCCAGTGTCTGTACACCTGTACCTCTATACCCAGTGTCTGTACACCTGTACCTCTATACCCAGTGTCTGTACACCTGTACCTCTATACCCAGTGTCTGTACACCTGTACCTCTATACCCAGTGTCTGTACACCTGTACCTCTATACCCGTGTCTGTACACCTGTACCTCTATACCCAGTGTCTGTACACCTGTACCTCTATACCCAGTGTCTGTACACCTGTACCTCTATACCCAGTGTCTGTACACCTGTACCTCTATACCCGTGTCTGTACACCTGTACCTCTATACCCAGTGTCTGTACACCTGTACCTCTATACCCAGTGTCTGTACACCTGTACCTCTATACCCAGTGTCTGTACACCTGTACCTCTATACCCAGTGTCTGTACACCTGTACCTCTATACCCAGTGTCTGTACACCTGTACCTCTATACCCAGTGTCTGTACACCTGTACCTCTATACCCAGTGTCTGTACACCAGTACCTCTATACCCAGTGTCTGTACACCAGTACCTCTATACCCGTGTCTGTACACCTGTACCTCTATACCCAGTGTCTGTACACCAGTACCTCTATACCCGTGTCTGTACACCTGTACCTCTATACCCGTGTCTGTACACCTGTACCTCTATACCCGTGTCTGTACACCAGTACCTCTATACCCAGTGTCTGTACACCAGTACCTCTATACCCAGTGTCTGTACACCAGTACCTCTATACCCAGTGTCTGTACACCTGTACCTCTATACCCGTGTCTGTACACCTGTACCTCTATACCCGTGTCTGTACACCTGTACCTCTATACCCAGTGTCTGTACACCTGTACCTCTATACCCGTGTCTGTACACCTGTACCTCTATACCCGTGTCTGTACACCTGTACCTCTATACCCGTGTCTGTACACCTGTACCTCTATACCCGTGTCTGTACACCTGTACCTCTATACCCAGTGTCTGTACACCTGTACCTCTATACCCAGTGTCTGTACACCAGTCTCCATCAACAACATGCCCCCTTCCTCATATTTTTCAGGTGGGACACCTGGAATGATTATAAGAGCCGTTGGTTGACATTTCGTTAACAAAATCACTAAGGAAACCCCCAAGTAAGTCGTGAGTTCGGGAAACACAGACTACTCTTAAAAGATAATCCCGATTTAAATCCCCATGCAATGAGAATAATCCCCCTTTGGTATAAATCCAGTTACTCTGCAATTCTTGTAATATTTTCACTATATAACCACTGTTCTGCTACGATGCTTTGTTATACTATACGTCACTAATATAGGATTAAGGGTCTAATAGTTTAATATTATTATTAAATCACGTTAATCTGATTATAGTTATCTTGGTTATCTTGCCTCTCCTGTTTACAGCTGGTGGTCTTGTTATGCGACATTTGATTGTATTATCCTTTTCATGTAATGACTAACATCTATTAAACAACTAATCAGATTTATCAAAGGTATGTCAGATGTATTATGACACTCATCAGATGTAGTCAAAATTCACAAGGAGTGAACAAATCCACAAGGGCTGTGACGAGGATTCGAACCTACGTCCGGGAGCATCCCAAACGCTGCCTTAATCGACTAAGCTACGACATGGTCAAAAAGAGTTGAAACCGAAATTCTACTGAACTTACTGGATCCTGTAGCCTCTCCGAGGCACAAACCAGGGTTTTTACACAACCTCCATGCATTCGAGCTATGTCAATAGGCCGTTCTCCCTCTTCGCCCTTACTTCATTACACACAGAAATCACAACGAGTTATGACTACATCTGACATTTATGACATGTTACAGCCGACAACATCTGACTTGTCAATCACACTATACCACGCTTACTTGTAATACTATATAGGACTTAAAACATGACTTGCATGGTATGTTGATCTACATATAATTAATTAAGCCATCTTCCTACACCTAACTTCTCTCTCAAGACACACCTGATTATTCCCGAGATAACTCTCTAGCTACACCTGACTACTACACCTCTGTTACCTGACAAGCTACACCTCACCTGCCAAATCAACAGAAGAATTACGGGCTCACCATAGCCCGTGCTACATGGACACTTCGTTCTCAGTAGCCAAATCTAAAACAACAAAACAGTAATATTCAACACAATGCTCTCTGAGCATAATTACCAGCATTAGTAATTGCATAACAATCCCCCCCCCCCAATTAGCATAGATAAAATCTCTATTAACAGCATCGTTGACCCTGCTTGGGGTCACCTTGAGGTCACATGAACTGTCCCACCTTCACCTACTAAACTCACAAAAATAACATATTGGTTACGCTGATTTTCTTGTTTTTAAGAGAGACTATAGCAATAGGCTGCGACGCCATTCATTGCGATTCTCTCATTCTTGATTAGTGTTACACAGCCTACTGGACATAGGTCTGTACTTTTGTTGCTGTTTCTCAAGTCATTCTTTCTCAATTTTAAATAATATACTCTTTAATGTTTTATATTATTACTGTATTATTATTAGAAAGTTAATTGGAGCACTGGAAGTGACTCGAACCAGCGTTTATAAAACTTCCAGCCGAGCTGCTGGGGGTGCTATGATCTCCGATTTGAATAACCTTGTTGCTCCAACTTTCTCAATTATGTATTAGTGTGATTTGTGTATTAATAACAAATATTACTATTTGTGAATACGAATGGTATTCAGTTATGTGTCGGGCCCGTGGCCTAATATACTGTACATTCAAGTTGCTAATGCTGTTTTGTTAACTTTGACAGAGGTTGATGTGAGCGCGTGCGGACGCGCTTCTGCTCTCCACCACCCTTTTGTTCCGAGTCTCTGAATCTACAACCACAACAACCATCTGCTGCTGCTACAACCTCGTGAACAACGATTACACAACACCTGAGATACAATGTAAAACAGATGTACTATGTAAAACAGCTGCAATACAGTGTAAAACAGCTGCAGCGTAATACAAAATAACTTGTGTAAATAAACGGCAATACAGTATCAACAACTACAATTTATTATAAACAGCTGTACCATTTACACAGCTGTAGTGCAATGTAAATATCTGAAATATAAGCTTTAATATAAACAGCTGCTGTATAATATAACCAGCTGCATTAGTGCAGTTGGAATACAATGTAAAGAACTGCAGTACAATGTAAACAGTTGGAATACAATGTAAAGAACTGCAGTACAATGTAAACAGTCTGTAATAGAATCAGGAATGAAAGTAAAACTTTGGGCAGTGTGAAACAAAAAATTGAATAAATGATTATAAATTACCAATATAAGGGAGGATCAAACAATCAACCTCTTAGTACATGCAAAACAAACCAATTGAACAGTAAACAACATGCAAACAAACAAATCTTGAAAATTCAACAACCTATAATCAACACACTTCATGATCATTGTCTGCCTAACCTCTGGCAAGGCTTTTAAGTAAGGTTAAATCAATTTTAGGCAAGGTCAGAGGTCAAATATATCAATCAAGTGGTATGAACTGCCATCGAAGTCAATCGAGGTTGAAGCCTGGTTAAATGAAAAAGACTATTTGGTGAACCTAAGTCATTCGTGTTCACTTGAACTTTAATCCAAGTCATCTATATGTGGCATTAGGTCGAGTATAGTAAGGTCAAGAAGTTTGCTTGAATGAGGAGTTAGGAAAGCAAAGTCTATTTAGGACATTTAACATTGTAGGTCACCTTCGAGTGTAGTAAAGTCAAATGTGTGTCCTTTAGCTCATTTGGAGTGAACGAATATCGTTCATCACAATTACTTATAAGTGGAGGGAAAGCTGGTATTTTCCACCTAATTGACTTAGGAATGGAGTTGGATCCAGATGGAATTGTAATTAGGTCAAGCCCAGCAAAGGACCATCTTGGAATGGAGTTGGGACCCGCTAGGTCATCCTGGAGTGGATATGGGACTAGCTATATGTCACCTGGGAGTGTCCCCAGGGTCTTCTTAGATCACCTTGGAGTGGCCCTGTGTCTAGTTAGGTCTATAGTGGCCCTGGGTCAAGTTAGGCCAGCTTGGAGGTGAAGGGACGACGACGTTTCGGTCCATCCTGGACCATTCTCGAGTCGATTGATTCCAAGACAGCTTGGAATGGACCTGGGGTCAAGTTTGGTAACCTGGAACTCTAGTGAATATAAGTTGCTGCATTGCCCTCAAACTCGTCTTCCTGAGGCCATGATTCCGAGAGGGGAGGGGGCCTGACTTAACTACGATGGTCGAGTCATCATCTCAGGCCATTAGACTGGCTTGCGTATCGCCAGTTTTTGTACATGAAACGATAAGTAATTTGTACTACGCAGTTTCTGTTGCATATACAGTATATATATGATTTGTACATAAAAGGGAGAGGCTGTTCTCGCCCATTTCTAGAGAGTGTAAGGATGTTATGTAGAGTGTTTGTGTGTGAATGCACTACAAATAATCCGATTGTAGGTTATGAGTGGTCCAACTAATTTACTAATATTAGGTTATATGAGGCCCCATGTTGATACACTGTAGGTTGTGCGTCTCCCCCAACTAATATACTTATCGTAGGCTATGTATAGTTCTACTAACACATTGTAGGATGTGGCGCCCTACTGATATACCCAATGTGGGTTAGTGTGACCCAACTAATACATTCACTGTTGGCTACATATCACCGTACCAACAACAGGATTATGACAGACAACTGTCCGAATCTTTATGACAGAAAACTATCCGAATCTGTGAACAAATATCGAGGCGTATTATTGCTTGTATATGAAAGACGAACATTATCATAAAGCTCTGAAGCTCTTCATTAGAAACTATTTAAATCTGTTTCTTGGGTCAGCACAAGAACTACTATGGTTTAGAAAATAAATACTTTTTCATAAATATTTGTAAATGATTCATATACTGTAATCATATAACTGAAAACTCAAACCCCAGAAGTGACTCGAACCCATACTGCCAGGAGCACTTTGCAACCGGTGTACAGGGCACCTAATCAGTTTCAAAGTGCTCCTGGCAGTATGGGTTCGAGTCACTTCTGGGGTGTGAGTTTTCAGTTGCATGTATGCCTGGGGACCATTCAGGCTTGTTCGCATATAATCATATATATAAAAATTTAACCACGAAGAAAAAATGAAACCCAGAGTTGATTAGAGCGCGGTCATGTTAATCAACATCTTACCAAAAGTACAAATCACTGAAAATTATACCAACACAAAAAGGCAGGAAGGTTAGGTGCAAAACAACGTTTCTGTAATATTGGTACATGAACCTCTGTAGTTTCCTTTTGTACTTTATGGCTATTACAGTGCAAGATGTTGATGAAGAGATTGATTGACGGAAGATTAGGCAATCCAAGAGGTGGCATGGGCATGAATAGCCCGTAATTGCACTCGTATCCATGAACCAATATATTACAAAGACTGTTTTACACCTAACCTTCCTGCCTTGTGTGCGAGTATAATTTCACTTATTGTATTATTCACTTATTGTGTATTGTACTTTGGTAAGGAGAGTTACAGCCCCGCTCCTGTGCCAGGCAAGTCCACTCCGGGCTCACCATAGCCCGTGCTACTTGCAACTTGCAACTTTTTGTTCCCAGTTGCTGAATCTTAAACACCAACTTTGGTAAGGTGTTAACATGATAGAAAAATGAAACCAGAGTTTTAGCGCTCTCTGGACTGAGGGGTAAAGATGGGGTGTTGGGGGAGGGGGGAGGGGGGAGGGGGGGGGATATTTTGTTCAGCATTCTGCAACTTGCTAAATATATTCCGTTATCTTGTTTTCTTTATTTTTGTCTTTCACAACATCTTTGCTCTTATGTTTATTTAACTCTTCATTCACTTCAACCTTATTTTTTGTCATCTCATCTTTTCAGCTTATTCCTTCATTTGCTTCTGCTTGTCTTCATTTTCTTTCGTGTTTTTATTAACTTGCATTTAACCCTACTTCCTCTTTCCCTTCTCCTCTAATCCTGCTGCTCCCTCTTTCTCTGTTCCCAATGTCTTTCCTCTGACCCTTCACATTAGTTTCATTCAAATTTCCTCATGTAATCTCATGACGTTTAATCTCCGTACCATAAAATGCAGCAAATACATTATTGCATAAAAAAAATTATTACTGAACAAGTTTTACCAATAAAAGGTCTCAATTAACAACTTTGATCAATAATATACGAAAACTCTATACAATTTTGGCTTCCAGGTATAGTTTTTGGCGTGCGTGTGTTGGATAGATTCGCATATACACATAATGTATCCCTCTTTGGTATTTTGAAATTAAATATATTTAGATACAAGCGTATACATCTCGTAAGCCTTCTATATACGTGACTCGGGTGTATGAAGGGAGAGGTGTTGTATACGGTCCGTCTAATTACTACAAGCTACCACAAGCTACCACAAGCTACCACAAGCTACACAAGCTACAACAAGCTACCACAAGCTACACAAGCTTCACAAAGCTTCCTGGCAATACGTTAGTAATGAATAAATATGATATATTTACTTATTATAATCTTGGTACTGAATGTACAACACAAAAAAAAATTTAATCTGAAAAAGTATCTTTTTATAAAGAAATTAGACGAAAATAAAGAGCTGGTGACGCCAAATCAAGTCGACGATCCAAGTGTCGGTTAGGTTAGGTTAGGTCAGCCTAACCTAACATATCATATTTATTCATAACTAACGTATTGCCAGGATGCTTTGTGAAGCTTGTGGTAGTTAGACGGACCCGTTGTATGCGATAGTCTAACAGTTGCGTAGCATGTGCGAGTATAACAAAGAGTTGAACAAAGAGGAAATAGGGTGTATAATTTGACTGGGTTTCAATACTGAACACACTCGCGGGGGACACATGGGCGCCTGACAGCTGAGTGGACAGCTCTTCGGATTCGTAGTCCCGAAGTTCCGGGTTCGATCCCCGGTGGAAGCGGAGACAAATGGGCAAAAAGTTCCTGTCACCCTGATGCCCTGTTTTCCTAGCAGTATATAGGTACCTGGGAGTTAAGACAGCTGTTACGGGTTGCTTCCTGGGGAGGGGGCTGTAACAAAAAGGAGGCCTGGTCGAGGACCGGGCCGCGGGGACTCTAAGCCCCGAAATCATCTCAAGAGAACTATCGCATGGAGAGGCGTATCACGGCAGCCCCCGGCGGGAGAAGCGTCACCCATCTTTATATTAATTGAAAGAAGTGTATCCCGCGTATTCACCGACTTAGTTTACCGTATTACCTTGTATATTGTGGCTTTCAGAGTATTAATTACCTCCTTGGACTAGAGAGGTTAGCACTTTTTTTCAGTAATTTCGACCTCAAAGTCGTGTAATCTTAATTTGTAACTCGGGCATTTGCTCTGTATAATTGTGTCAACAAATCCGGATTCGCTGATCAAAACGCCACCCCGTTCTACTTAACAAGAATCCGGATATGTTGTACAAATCTGTCCTTGCAGCTCTTCCCACCGAAAATCAGCGGTTCAGTGCCCATACACGGGTATCTTTGTGCACAACAATTAAGTGCATTCATTAATGACAATAGAAACAATTTTAACAACTAACAACGGAACGGCGCTTAAACTAAGCAATGAGCTTAATTGTCACTGGCCAGGGTGTTGTTGCAGTAACATTAGCAATAAGTCAAACGATGGGAACCATTTGATATTTTGTATGTAAATTTCCAGCAGCTCTGTACCTAAATTTTTAGAAACTACATGATATTCTGCCTTGATTTGTTATTAACATATCTTACCATATCAAAAATATAAAAAACTGTCTCTTAAGCTTAATCCGTATTTCATTGGATCCTATTTTCTGTGTTTTTTGTTTGAGATTTTTTTTTTGAGATATATACAAGAGTTGTTACATTCTTGTACAGCCACTAGTACGCGTAGCGTTTCGGGCAAGTCCTTAATCCTATGGTCCCTGGAATACGATCCCCTGCCGCGAAGAATCGTTTTATCATCCAAGTACACATAGGCTACAGTTAAGGAATTGCGCCCAGTAAATCCTCCCCGGCCATGATACGAACCCATGACATAGCGCTCGCGGAACGCCAGGCGAGTGTCTTACCACTACACCACGGAGACTGTATGTCTCTGTCATAAGCAAGGCTAATCCTCTGCAATTCGAGAACACCGAGACACCAGGAGACACAGGTTGCGTTGCATACATCCTACACATGGTGTCTATACATCAGAGTTTGCAGAGGATACAAAACTAATTTCAATTGCAGGCGATGAGTCAAAATAACGTGGCTAAAGTATGTTGACCAGACCACACACTAGAAGGTGAAGGGACGACGACGTTTCGGTCCGTCCTGGGCCATTCTCAATCGACTTGAGAATGGTCCAGGACGGACCGAAACGTCGTCGTGCCTTCACCTTCTAGTATGTGGTCTGGTCAACTAATTTCAATTGTCAGGAGAGAGAGAGAGAGCTTGTATAATTCATTGCAGATATATTTGGAAACTTCGGACAAAGAACAAGAACAAACTAGAAAAGGTCCAAGGATATGCGACGAGGCTCTTTCCTGAGCTGAAGGGATTGAGCTATGAAGAAAGACTGACTAAACTGGACCTCATCACACTGGAGGAGAGGAAAGACATGATAACACAAGATCATGAGGGAAATTGACAAATTGATTGACTGATGAAGATTAAACCACCCAAGAGGTGGCACGAGCATGAATAACCCGTAAGAAAACAAAGGTTCGGGTTCCTGGCGGATGTCCCATCTGGTCCCCTCCCAGGTTCGGTCCTGGCTGGGTGTTGTGTGGGACTCTCGGGTCCGCGGGTAGTGACAAAGTAGATAAAGCAGGTATAGGGGTGGGTTGGGGGGGGGAGGGGGTCAAGATCACGGTAGAAGGCACTGTAGTCCAGAACAATTACGGATATTCATCAACAAACTATCCAGCATGTGGGGAGGCATTTCAACCAACCTTACACAAACATTGATTCAATGTAGAGAATGCAATAAACTGGGTGGTGGTGGTCTGCAGAGAGTGGTATTCAGCTTTTGGGTCCCAGACCTTAAATATCAGGTGCAAGCTACTCTTATTAAGCACTTATCTTACGGATGGAGGGTTTCTTCACTACCCCCATTTCTAGTTCAGTTCACTTGTGTGTGAGTGTTCATATCACTTTCTGTAGACTCTTGCTCACTGACTGCCACCAGGGTGAGAGATGGGTCTCCTCGCACCAGCATTGTGTCGATATCACTTATATTCCCTCACGTCTCCCTTGGAAGTCATTCACAAGGAGGCAGTGTCATGGCCGCCAGCGGTTGGTACTGGTCGCTGCACCCTGTCGAGGACAAGATCAAGGAGTGCCGGACACTTAGCAATAAAACAACAAAAGTAATATTAATGCCACTAATTTCTATAACTGGCTCAGTAATTTTTGATGTTTGTTGTAATCTCTCTGTGTCTCCATTATGTCCCTCTCCTTGAGTTTTCAAACATAAGTCTGTTCATCTGTCAACATTTTACACACAAATACTAAAACCAAACTCATAGCCTCACTATGCAGTCACGAACTTTCACAGCAAGTCGTCTCCGGACACATACCAGCTCTGACACGTGGTCCATGACAAAACTTTTGACCTATCACGTGTGATACGTCACGTATCAATCACATCACGACACTCGTTCAATGTCCACTGTCCGACTGCTGACTAAAGGTCATTGGATACTTAAGTGTGTTCCATATAAATTGCCGATTCTATTCAAGCAGTGATCGAGAGTTAAAAACCCAGAATTTCTCTTTATTGTACTAATCAAAACCGCACAAAAGATGCGACATGAAACACAAGAGTTAACGTCACATATTAAACATTCCTACACCAAGCAAAGAGCTATACTGTCTGCTCCAAACACCCCGAGCACCTCTTCCTACCTTTATGGGAGATGCAGACGCCCCAGGAGAGCGGGGCGAGGGTGTGGTCAGCGACCCGGGTAGCGCACCACAGGATGCTCCCGGAGGTCACGCAGGAGTACCACTTGACACCATGGTAGACAAAAGGGAACACGCACGGTATTCCCTCCTCCGTCACCGCCACCTTCTCGTAGCCTGGCCAGAGGGAAATGGCTCATAGATAACTTGGCAAAAGAAGGGAGAGGCCAAGAGAAAACAAAGAACATGAAGATAGATATCGAGAGGGAAGGAAAATTCCACGCGCGTGGGAACGAGTGACTTAAGTTTGAAAGATAATAATGAAATATGAGGGAGAAATGAAGGTGAAATGTGTAGAAGTGGCCACTGATAAGGACAATTTTAGGGTTACGAGATTAAGAAGAGGTGGAGGTCGGATGAAGAGCAGTGAATGTAGGACGAAGCTGTAGTAAAAAGAAAGAGAAAGGGGTCAGGCGAGAGGCCAGGAGGAAGAGGAGGCTAAGAGTGGCTAAGAGTCCTGGGGTTACGAGTCAAGGTCAAGAAGCTCAGGAAGGCGAGAAAAGGGACAAAACAGGATATGGATGAGGTCAAGACACAAAAACTGATGTAGGTATTGAGCGAGCAATCACTGAAGATGGTATGTACTTTACCCAACTCTCTTTCGGCAGGTGTCTATGGGGATTTAGCCCTGTTGCACCAGCATTGACTTGAGACTTATCCTTGGCGAAACAGCAATCGGTGATTACAGTGATTAGACATATCTATGTCGAAACAGCAGGCACAAGTCGGGACTTACCTTTGTCGTACCAGCAGACGTTGACCTCGAGCGGAGTACCGTCTCTTGCCAATTTCGTGGCGCACCAAGCAGGGTGGTCGCCGTCCCTCACACAAGTCGTTTGCCAGCGTCCAAGATGGATGAAGGGGAAGATGCAGGTCTTGCCCGACGCCGTTGTCAAGACCTCGTCGAGACCTGTGCGGGGATGGCCATGGATATAAGTGTCCCCTCAGACCTCCCCCTTTGCCTCCCTCACACGGTCGGCCGAACGGACAGCACGCGGGACTTGTGATCCTGTGGTCCTGGGTTCGATCCCAGGCGCCGGCGAGAAACAACGGGCAGAGTTTCTTTCATCCTATGCCCCTGTTACCCAGCAGTAAATTAGGTACCTGGGTGTTAGTCAGCTGTCACGGGTTGCTTCCTGGGGGGGGTCGAGGCCTGGTCGAGGACCGGGCCGCGGGGACACTAAAATCCCCGAAATCATCTCAAGATAACCTCAAGATAACCTCCCGCCCTCTGGAGTCAAGACTCACCAAGATTCATGTTGCAGTAGTCCCACTCTACAGGCTCCCCAGCGTGGCTTAGACTCACAGGACACGCGAATCTTGCATCCTCCTTGTGCTGACCCTCCAGCCTGACGCAGGAGTTGTACCTCGTGCCGTTCACTATGTAAGGAAAGCTACAGAAGTGTCCGCCATCCGTCACCACCGCTTGCTTCTCTCCTGAGGAGGTAATCATCCCTATTTGAGAATTTAGTAATCTAAATATGTATTCACAAATTCTATTAAATAAAGTGCTTCCCACACTTATGTTTGAATGTTAATATTGAAAAGTAATTCCAATTCAATGATATAAAGAAGAAGAGAACATGCAACTGCACATGTGAAAATCAACACGAATCCTTCCCATGACATTTATTGTCAAAAGTCCTATTAAACAAGTTTAAAATGTATTAAATACGAATATGAACTGATAAATCATTTTCAATTAGCTCACTGATGAGTCAGTTATCCCCTACCAACAGCAAGAATGCAGAAGTCCCAGTCCGTGGGATGTCCCAGGTCGTCCGTAGCGGTGGGACAGGTCGGGGACGCGCCGTCAATGGAGGTACACCCGTGGTACCACCGGTCCTTGTGCAGGAAGGGAAAGATGCACCGCAGACCCCGGACAGTCAAGCTGTACCCTGCACGGTACAGTATTTGCTGAGCTCTGGGGGAAAACTGGTGTTATCTATGTCAAATTCCTGCTGTGTATTAGAGGACAAAAGGTGAGAAAACATCATAAAACTACTAGTCTTTAATTACTCTAAACCTTGAAATAGTATTACGTAAACTCTAAAAGAAGGTTTTGGCGATGCTCATAAGTGGCAGCTTTTAAATTCACAACACTTGAATTTACAAGTGTTGTGCAACTGTTGTATAACTTTCACACTATATAACTATTAGCCACACAGACACGCGTGTATAATATTTTCCTATCAGACTCAATTACTACACTATCACCTAATACCACTGTTCATCTAGCAGTAAATACAAATACCAAAGAGTTGGTCATCTTGTGGCGGGGTTACATGCTGGGAAGGGTCAGTAGTTCGACCTTGGGGGAAGGATGGGACTCCTCCATACAAACCTAACATATTATATATATATTATATATATACACACACACACACGCTAGCTGTCTGTCCCGCGACAAAATGAATTATAATAAATCAAACAGTATAAACAGATTCATACACTACGCTCCCCCTGGACTCACTGTACTGGCAGCGGGGGCCAGAGAAGCCCTCCAGGCACTGGCAGAAGTTGCAAGAGGCGCAGCGGCCCCTGTTGAGGCAGGGCGGGAAGCACTCTGCCGCACAGGACACGTCCCCCAGCACCTCCTCCTCCTCCCCGAACACCCAGGAACCATCAGAGCTGCACCTTACCGACGACCCAACCTCGCCTGTGGCCAGCTTGAAGCCTTTCTCGCATTGAATGTAGCCAGAGTTGTTCTTGGGCTGATCACTGAGGAATGCATTGAGAAGTGAAAGCAGGGTGTAGGTGGGGTGTAGATGTATAGGGTGTATGTGGCGTGTAGGTTAGGTTCGGACAATTTTAGTACAAAATTTTGTGTTCAGTTATTAACGCTCGAGAGAATGGCCCGGATAAACACCAAAATAATAACTACAAAAAAACAGTTTTTATTTTTAAACTCTTGTAAAGTACTCAGATGATGCAGCAGATGCTGCCCACAGACGAGAGACGTTACCTGAAGGTTATGGAGGCGTTGGGCACGACAAGAGGGAAAATCCCACAAGCCTTATACTGGCACCACGCCCCTCCGTATCCACTAGGGCACTGGCACCTGTTGGAACCCAGGCACTGACCGCCGTTTTGGCACGGGGAGCGACACCGAGGGTAGCAGGCCAGGTCGGTGGCGGTGACGACAGAGGGCCTCGCCGGCACCCAGTGATCGTCAACACACTGCATGAGGTTGACCCTGGAGCCTCCCAACGTCGCGTGACCCGTGTGGCACGTGACCCTAGCCAGGTGGTCACTGTGGGAAGGTCAAAGGTTATAGCGAAACCATGAAGGATCTCAATCCTTTTCATTAAGTGGTATATGCATGTTAGGTAGGTTTGGCAAAACCCCTAACCAAAAAATATAATGAAACAACCCACATACCCTAATGTTAAGCTATTCTCTTAGCCATAACGCGTCGTGCTGATGAAATGATCTATTCTCTCCAGGGGTGAGTAGTGAAATATGTGACTAGAACCGTGCGCCCCATCTGGACAGCTGGCTCTAATAGAGCCACCTGTCCAGATGGTGCTACTGGGGTAACTCCAAGCCCTACAATCAAGGTCAAATATTGGTATCAGAAATTACACTCAAAGGTTAAAATACAACAAGGTGCACAATTACTCTGACGCTTCACCTAGACGCCTCACTATCGAGAGGAAATGTACACACTCACTTGATCTTCACCGACGAGGCATTTGCGATGACTGGGGGGAACCGACAGTCAAATGCCACCTCGCAGACCGGAGAATAGGTGCCATCCGGACACACACACTGACCAGGTCTCTCGCAAATACCCCCACCCTGGCACTCCGGCTCGCAGATAGGTTGGCACACCTTGTCCCAGGACCAGCCAGGTGGCGTGTCCCAGGTGCCGTGAAGACAGGTCAAGGTGGCATTGGGTATACTCGGGTGGTGGTGCAGCAAGTAGCCCTCCAGGCACCTAAAGGTGAGAGCGCCCTTGCTAAGGGCACGAGAGGGAGAGAATAAACATGGCTTTTGGTACAGGATGAGTAGGTGTGAAATTGTTTAGGCAGAGTATCACAAAATATATGACCTTAAAATAAAGATAACACCAACAACAAGATAAAAACAAAAGAGTTTAATGACCTTCGCTCAGCAAGAAGCCAAAGCAGGAGGAAACAGTAAGGTAAAAGTTTCAAAGAGTGAAAAGGCAAATTTAAAAGTATGGAAAATAAACCAAACAAAATTGAGACAAGTAAAAAGGGAGGCCGAGATCAGAATGTGGCAAGATAAAGGAGAAACTCTACCAAATCATATTGAAAAGCCCCTTAAAGAGGGGACACGGAAACTAAGCCCCCGAATATGGACACTATGAAGTAATGGAAGAATCTAATTCAATATCCTGCTAGTAAGAGGAATAGCTTCTGCAAAGAATCAGTAGGGATATAATCTTCAAACGGATTCGAAACAGGCAAGATAGAATTCACAGGATTAAGTTACATGAACACTGATCGACTGAATGGTAAGTGATGGAACCCAGGAGCCGAAACTGAATTCTCAGGAAACGAAGACAAGTAAGTCTCCACGCACAGATGTACATACAATCTCCCTCTCAATCCACAAATCTACTTTTAAACAAACACCATCTGATCCCCAAATCTCACTTGTAAACAACATCTGCAACCTGCATCAGGGCAGGCGGTACAATGCACTGCATTTGGACCACCACTTCCTCCTCCTCCTCCTCACACAGCGCCCCAGTAAACCCTGTCAGGCACTTGCATTTGCCAGGGGTGACGCAACTACCCCCGTTTCTGCAGGGGGTGGAGCAGATAGGGTCGCAGGGGGCGGAGCAGACAGAGTCGCAGAAGGCGTCCGTTGAGGGCTCTGGAGTCCATATACCCTTCACGCAGTGGATCCAGAAGCTCCTACTGGCATTGTTGTCGTGGGAGGCGCCGCAGCTGACCAGTACGCTGTCATCGCTGCAGGAGACCAGAGTATTAGGTCAGCCGAGTGGCCGAGAAGCTAAATGGTTTTGTTAATGCATTGAATAGTTAGACTTTTTGTTTAGAATCGGTTAATAAAAATAAGTTAATTATGGGGAGAGTGCTAAGACTGCATGTCTCTATACTACTTTCAATAGAATAAGAGAACAAGGATCTGGAACATCGGCTGGGGATTAAATGCCAACCTGCAAGAAGCAAGGCCTCTGCTGTACCGACCAGTCCAAGTGATTGGGTCTGCTAATAAGGAGAAAGTGGGTACATGGGTCTACTTTGTTTGGCCAACCTGTCCTGCTTACTCCATCTGTCAGCTCCCCCCCCCCCCCACCCTTGTTGTGCCTTCCTCTATATCCCTTCTCCTCTCCCCTATATTCTCTCTCCTAATTTCTATTCCCTTTTCTACCAGCTTATTTTTTTTTTAAATATATTCTCATTCACTCTCTCACTCTCTTCTATTCTACCCTTTTCCTCGTCTTTCTTCCTTTCTCCTCCTCTCCTCGGCTGTATAATCGTACTGACCTTGCGCTTTCTCCTCATCATTACCTTACTCCATTTTCTTTCTTTCCTCCATTTGTCTTTCCATCTTTTACTCTCGATGTTCCCCTCACACCTCATTCGGATAAGGGAGAACTTACACGAAGGATAATCTGCCGTTCTCGATGTAGGGAACCGGTTCCAGACACTTCACCTCCTGACAGCGGTGGCCGAAGAAACCAGGCGGGCAGTTGCAGAGGTCGTGAGCGACGCAGGTGCCTCCGTTGTGACAGGCGGAGCTGCAGGAGGGGGAACACCCGAAGAAGGAGGTGGATACGTAGGGCGGCGGGAAGGTCCAGGTGTTGTTGTCGCAGGTCAAGACGAGTCGGATCTCCCCGTGGGGAAACATCGTGTTCTCCGGGCACTCCGCCGTCAGGAGAGTCGGCCTGAGAGAGGAACACAAGATATATAACAAGGGAGAGTTTAAGGGAGAGAGAGAGAGTTTAAGTCAACTCTCAACGAAAGAGGGTTTAAAGGATCTAACTCTCTTTCCCTAGGACGGATCAGAACCAAATAATTTAAGAAAATGGTTAAATTTTTTATTATTTAGGCATAAACGAAAGGGCAACAATAGTTTATGCGTCAGGAGCCATCATGGGAATGCTGTTAACAATTGTATCTTAATCTTCTCCAAATATAAATGATTTCCTCTCACGAATACATAAAATTATAGACATTCACGGGGCTTTATTCGCAAAAAAAAACTTATATGAACAAAAATACAGAAACCTGCAAAAAAAAAAAAAAATAATCCACACGAGTCTGCTATAATTTATATCCACTCAAACTCATTCATACACATTAATAATAGCTCTTGAAAGAGTCAAGTGATACCAAGCCTATTATGTTATCCGGTAATTTGCTCCATAAATCTACAACCCAGCTTCCTAACCTAGTACTAACATTTCTTGAAAAACCATTTATATATATAAAAAATTATACTAAAGTTGCTGTGCCGAGGCCTTGTGACGTCAGTAAACCCCCAGCTATGACATCAGTAAACCCAGCCATGATGTCAATAAACCCAACCATTGACATGTGGCCCCATCAGAAAAGCCACGACGTACCTCATTGTCACATAGGCGTGTAGGAGCTGGCTTGGGATAACGTCACAGCTGTAACCGCTGCAATCCGGGCCTCCGTAGCCCTGCGAGCACCAACAGTAGTCCGGGGCTACACACCTGCCTGCTTGGGCAGGAAGAGGAGAAAGAGAAGCGGGAAAAAGGGAGAGTTAGAAGGGAAAGGGGGCAGATTAATATAAAAAATTTAATAAATTAAATTTGTCTAATGTTACATTGTCTGCGTTTATGGATTTTTTTTTAGTTTCTTTACAGGACCTGTACTTAGGAAAAAAGTTATTTAGTAGTTGGATTTATCATATCTGAAGTGCTTGGAATGTCCGTTTTCTCGTAAATTTCAAGGGCTGCCAGTTTTTGTTTAAGATTTGGAAACTATTTACAATTGTCATTGTCAACATCACGCTTTAATGTGACCAGTTAGGAGTTCAGTTGATCAAACATAACATCAGATGTTTCGAGAGATCCCTGTGACTCGTGTCATGTTAGAAGATGTTTGTAAACATTAGTCTACAAATCTACACATGTCTCTTACCAGTTTTTTTTTTATTTAGTTAGAAGAATACTATTTGTTTATTATTTTTTTTTACCAACACTCAACAAATCAAGTAAGAACAGAAGGTATACCAAGCCAACAAACATTATTAACAGATTAACATCTGCCCGAAACGCTATGTGTGTTAGTGGCTTTGCAACAATGTAAACATACCAATCTTATGTAATGTCACAAACCCATTGTACTTTCTAATAAAAAAAATATTATTACATATAATTTGTGTTGTTTACTTCGAATTCATATCGCTCATTAAATTCTGCAATTGTTTTTTTTTCTAAAGCAGGAAAGCACAGATATAACAGCCATGTTCATGTATATGAACATATACAGGTTACAATTGGTATCACTTCTTCAAATTCCTTAAGGGCCGTCTTGTGGACTCTCAGCCATCTTGTGGGCAATACAGTGCAATCCTTCCAGTGAATGTGCAACACGTTTTGGAATAAAATTGACAATAGTGCCATGTAGTGGTACATGGTACGACCACAGTGGTACCACGGACCACTGTAGTGGTACAGTGGTCTATGGTAAATCCGGCAATGGAAACTTCTGTTGCATCCCCCCCAACCCTCACCCCCTACCCCTCCCTTGATGCCCTGAGCTTGTGCCCATTTTCTTCAATGGTTAATCCTGCCCTTTACCCTAAGCACGCACTCCAACATCTGTCCATTTACCCCGAACACTCACCTCCATTGAGACAGTTGGACTTGCAGTGGGGTCTACAGACGGGGTCCAGCCGCACCTGAAGCGGCAGCGTCCAGATGTTGTTACTGCAGGCGAGGAGCGCCTCTGTGTCCCCGCTGGAGAACACGTAACCCTCTGCACACCTGGCTGATGGCCTCCCGTCGCTAACACCATCACCACAACACACATGAAACAAAAGTCAGGCAATTCAAATTTAGTATAGTCTCCCCTAATGCATTGTCTGGACAGAATATGGTTCGATTCTCAAATATTTGTTAAGCATTAACCTTATTTTGCTGGCAATACATTGGTATAATCCCTGGCTCAACAATAACCTCAGAATAATAGACATTTTGTAAAAATCTATATCAGTTTTTATCTCCGAATGCTCCTCTCTCTCTCTCTCTCTCTCTCTCCTGGTCTACAGATCTGTCTCTCACCAGAAGTCTACGAAACCATTTGTGACGGAGGGAAGAGGTCCTTCACACTGGAGTAGCTGGCACTGGGCTCCCTGATATCCTATAGGGCACGAACACAGCTCTGGGTCTCGGCACACTCCGTTGTTCTGACAGGGCTTCGAGCACTGCGGCACGCAGCCTCCCCCCTGAAGGCTAGGGTGTCTCCAATGGCCCGCCTCACACCGTAGGAGAACCATCTCCTCTCCGGTCTCCAGCAGGTACCCCTTTAAGCAGTGGACGGAGGCGGCGATGGGACTGCAAGGAGTAGCAGGAAAGAAGGCTGCTTTAACTTTACACAATATATATAATAACTAATATGGACAATCCAGCTGATTTTCTGTCTCTTGAGAGGTGTTGAACATGTTGCTATGGCGGTTTAAATTCGCTCTAAGGAGAAAAATTGCATCTATAATATTACAGTTCAAAAAGGCCTAATTTTGTTATGCGTGGTTTATACCATTGGTGAAATATGCCTATTTCAACCTGAAGGGAAGGGAACTATCATAGAAAGTGCCAAGCCATTACGACTATATAGCACTTAGAAGTGGTCATTTTCAACCTGAGGAAAAGCTGCAATGTTCCACACATTTGATACACTGGTATAAGAGAGAAGGACGACTTACTTGACCACAGCATTGGCTACCTCCGGCAGCGTCTCCTGGGTACAGTTGCAGCCCTTCATCTTGTCCAGGCAGTCTGCACCAGTGTAGCAACACTTGCAGTGGCAAACATAAGGTGCCACACACACGGCTTCAGAGACACAGATGTTGTCGCAGTTAGGGACGCACTCCAGGCGGTCCGGTGCCCTCTCCACCTCCCCCTCCAGGCGCCACTGATGGCTGCGACAGTCAAACTGGGCTTCTGTTCTCCCTGACGGCAGCTTGTAGCCCGACAGGCACTTGACGGTGGGAGTCTTGTCGCTGGAAAAGAAAATGTCAGGTTTTAAAACATGCAGACGCTGACTACAGTGAAGAATGATTGTGTGGTAATGTCAACTGTTGGTGAAGGTAGGGTGATAGACATAGAAGATACACTAGACATAGATACACATTTTAGAATGTGTATCAAAGGCATTGAAGATCATAGAATGTTAAAGGACATAAAATGAGGGTCAAACATTTAACTCTAGCACTGAAAATATCAAATGAAGAAGACAATGTGTATCAGTAGATTTAAATTATCTTTAATTAGATTTAGAAACTATGTTTGTAAACATGGGTACATTAATAAATTAAAAAAATGCCAAGTGTTTCAATCATCGGCGCAGAAAATACTTTGGCAATATTGAAATATAGATGGAAAAAAGTTAGCATAAAAGAAGCAAAGATGGTCTCTTATCAAAAATTGAACTTTAAGAAAGTTCTAATAAAGATATAACTGATAACAAACGTCTCCCATTAACTCCCAACGGCAGTGACCAAACTCACTGCCAGACGACGTCCGCGAAGGCGACGCGAGGGAGCGGGTAGTAGCAGAGGGGCTCGAGGTCGACCTCCACCTCGCACTGCTGACCTGTGAAGCCCTCGGCACAGAGGCAGGTGTCAGGGGCCGAGCACGTCCCGCCGTTGAGGCAAGGATAGCGGCACGCCGGAGAGCAAGCCTCCTCCAGGACGGCCCACCTGCCCTCCGTCACCATACATTCCAGTTCCTCCTCCTGGTGGCCGTCAGGGAACTCGTACCCCAACACACACATCACGTGTATCTTGGGAAAGCGACTGCAACAGCAAGAATATGTACTTTACCACACATACACAGATCACACTAACGTGATGCATCAAATGAACAAATCCACAAGGGCCGTGACGAGGATTCAAACCTGCGTCCGGGAGCATCCGAGACACTGCCTTAACCCTGTCGTAGCTCAGTCGATTAAGGCAGTGTCTGGGATGCTCCCGGACGCAGGTTCGAATCCTCGTCACGGCCCTTGTGGATTTGTTCATTTAATATGTACTTTAATGTGTGGGGAAAGTGGTTGTACACCGTAGTAATTGTCAAACTATATCCACGGCAATGTGGTTGACAATTTAGAATGACCTGGGGTGTGGATCACCAATTCCTCTGAGCTTTCGTAACAGTCAGGAAAAAGTTGAAACAGTTGGGCAGTGGTTAGTTGCTTCTGGAATCTTTCCCGATTAAGGCTGTTCATAGCTTGGTGGATAGAGCTTCTGTCTCTCGCTCGTGGGACCGGTAGATCGAGTCTCCTAGTGCCCAGGTGCATGGAATGTTTATGTTCATGATAGTGTGGTTGACAGTTTGCGTGTCTACAATATTTAGTAAAATTAATAATTAAATTGTGAATAATTCTTGCTACTTATCCGTGCCACTTCAATAGTGCCTAAAATGACAGTCTTTTCAGCAAAGTGGTCAACTCCGCTGAGCTAATCCCTCACCTGCGGTCTATCCAGGCGTTCCTGACGGTGGGCAGAGCTTCGGGGCAGTCTCGTACCTCACACTTGCTCCCAGACGTACCCTCGGGGCACCTGCACGCCTCCCCGACGCAGCGCCCACCGTTAACACAGACGGGGCAACACGGAACCGGCACACACCGGAGCTTCTCGTTGTCCGTCGGAGTCTCCGTCAGGACCTGCCAGCGCCCCTCGACGCACAGGACCTGCGCCTGGCCGCGGTGCCCACTGGGGAGGCTTCGTCTTCCCTGGCATTCTATGTAGCGTTCGTAGGTGGCGGAAGTAGGAGATTCCTTGCTAGTAGGCGAGGTGGGGAGTGAGTATTGGATCACATTTAAAGTTGAAAGAATTCGATCGCTTCAACTAATGGATTAACAAATATTATATATAATTAGTGCAAACTGGAGATTTGGTAAATTAATTGAATATTCTCAAAATGGTAAAAAATAAATGCTTTTATATTAGAACATTTTGGAAGGAGAAATATAAATTGTGCTGAACACTTTTAGGAATGAAATAACCACCTTCCCTCGCGTGTAAATTTGTAAAAGAGTTTACACAACTCTATGGGTCTTCATTCGAGTAGGAAGTGTATACCCTGGAAACACAAACCGAAACTGTCTCTATTTTCCGCTTGTTACAACTTGAAATAAAGTTGTTACATCTTGGCTTAACGTGTTTATGACGTATTAGAACGTTGTTACAACTTGCTATATTGGTTGTTATAACTGGTTAGGAGGTGTTAAAACTTGCTCGAACGCTGCACCAACGTCGTAGTTTCGGTGTGTGTTTGGCGGGTATAGTCCTGGACAACACTGCCGGACAGCATAGTGTGGTATGGGTGATTGGGGAGGAGGGAATTGTTTGGGGGGAGGGGAATTTGGAGGGAATTTGAATTCCCTCCTCATTTGGGAATGAGGAGGGAATTTATTCAGACGTGTTTGTTCAAACACGTCTGAATAAATCCACAGCTTGCAGCAGGTACGAATGGCAGCACTGAGAACGGGAAGCTTTGTGTAGTGAAATGTGTTGGTCAAGATCAGGACGGGTGTTGTGTTTGTGTAGCGGGAGGGACAGACGCGAGGTGCCACAAGAGATCAAATACACTCACACACACTACCACCACAAGCACAATTAGGCAAGAACACACACACACACACACACGTGGAAAAGGCCCCAGACAATGAACTCTTTACTTGTCGAAGAAGATTGCGTGTTGTATCTCCGGGTAGGTCTCCGGGCACTTCCTCTCTTGGCAGTAGCGCCCACCGTAGCCTTGGGGGCACTGGCACCTCCCTCCCTTCACACACGTCCCCCCGTTCCTGCAAGAGGCAGACGGGTGAGTGTGTGTGCACGTAACAACAGCAAGCTTCCTGAAGCAACCACAGCCTGTACAACCCACCCATGATGACCAGACCACACACTAGAATGTGAAGGGACGACGACGTTTCGGTCCGTCCTGGACCATTCTCAAGGCGATTTGAGAATGGTCCAGGACGGACCGAAACGTCGTCGTCCCTTCACCTTCTAGTGTGTGGTCTGGTCATCATACTTTAGCCACGTTATTGTGACTCGTCGCCTGCAACCCACCCATCCCCCTGGCAGACACCCGCCACTAGCCAACTCATCTCTTAGTACCTGCAGGGAATGGAGCAGTAGGGAGCGCAGACAGGCAGAGATCCATCATTACTCGGATATATCCATCTGCCGTCCAGACACGTCACTCTGTGTCTGGAGCCGAGTCCTTGTCCCTCAAGCACGTTCTCGTCTGCGCACTGGAGTCCGTACACGTCGTTGCTGCACGGGAGAATTTGTTAATCACAGACGAACACTGGTAATTCATTGTTGAATGACTGCAGAAAGGGTGACGATGATTAATAACGTACGAGCAATAATTAACTAAAGCAGGTAGGAACGAATAAGTTTTTATGATTAAGAAGCTGATAACAGAAATTGGACATCAAACCCGCACATCTGAAAATAGAGGAACTCACGAAGTTTAGATAATTAGGATGTTCTTAGCTTATCTTCCTGCACGCATCAATCGCATAACGGGTACCTTAGGTCCAATCTGATTGATTGATAAAGATTAAGCCACCCAAGAGGTGGCATGGGCATGAATAGCCCGTAAGGGTCCAATCTATATTCGCGTTCTTCTATTTTAAAATGCTTTTGTATTTAAAATTGTATTCTTATAATGTTAATCATTATTACTTATTAAAATTGGGTGAATAGTCAAGACCTAAATTAGGATTAGGTTTTGATGGCAATTTTTTGGGCATGTAGTGCAAGTGTGAAGTATTTACAGAGTGGCGGTTCGAACAGAAGTCGTCAGTAAAAATGTTCGAACGTCATCAGTTTTATCGTAAGTAAACCATTTTTTCATTTATAAAGAAAGAGTTTGGTGGCTGGAGTAGTGAGCATTTTGGTCTTTGTTGAACGAGGACGGGGTACGACAAACGCAAAATGTTCATTCCATCCAGCCGCCAAACCCCCTGTTCATGAATGGAAAACGGTACACACACACCACTTACAAATGATGACGTTCGAACAGATTACGTTAACGACCTCTGTTAGATCCTCGACGCTGTAAATGCTTCACCCAAGTACTTTAAATACAAATAGTTGTCAACTGAACCTCAGAACTCCAGAACAGAGCTCCTAACCTACGCCTAAATATGCACAACATGCTAATACATCAATTTGTATTTGACAAAAATCCTATTTTGAATGACCATGTTAAAATCGAATGCGTCTTTGGGATCGGTCGCTGCACGGAACAAACATGGCCTGAGGGCAGATTGCTCAAAATCCCTTACTGCCTCTTTTAAACATTCTTGCGTCTCCTCACTCATATCCTTCCAATCTTAATTCTTTCTCTCCCGGCTCTTCATCACAGTTCTTCCAACAGCTTTGCACACTCACCTCCAGCGAGTCAGATGCATGCCCTCCGGAGCCTCGGGTCGTCCCTGACAGGACCTGTTCTTCGGCATTTCGCAGAAGGCACCCCTGGTGTTGGGCGGACAGCGGCACCTGCCGGGGGCTTCGCACTCTCCGCCGTTACGGCAGGAGGGGAAACAGATGGGGTGGCAGAAGAGGGGTGTCCCGGTATGTCCCCTCGGTGGGGACCAATTCCCATTTATGAAGGGCACCGTGAACTCTGATACCCCAGGAGACACTTCGTACCCGGGGACACACGACCCCAGAACGCCTCCAATGGATCTGGAGGGACAAAAGATTTTCACGTTATCAGTGTCAACCGCAACCCCCCAGACCCACAGTCTTGTTTTTATTTTCAATTCCATCCATCTCTTATAGCATTCAGGGCTAAATCAGCCGTTGCCTTGATAGCATCCCTTGCTAAACATTGGAGAAGAGTGGGAGAAGAAGCCATGTAATCAACCCATTCCTCTAACCAACCTATCCCTCCATCCAACTTATCTAAACTGCCGCTCCTTCAATGCCTACCCATAACATTAGATTATTAGATACAACCCCCTCCAGCCTCGCTCCCAGCTTACCCAGGTGCTATGATCTCTGCGTTCGGTAGGGGCAAAAACGGGAGGTTGTAGCATCTCTCGGCGGGGTCACAGACCGCCCCGCCGCACTGGCACAGGTCTGGAGCCAGGCACTTGCCCCATGGTGGACACGGAGGCGAGCACACAGGCAGACACCGCTTCAGCACACCATCCTCCGGCACCCACTTGAACTTGTGACAGATCAGCTCACTGCTGCCGGCTGCTGGGTACATGCTGTAGCCCGGGTCGCAGAGGAGAGTGGCTCGCTGGAGGTCGTCTCTGGTGGCGGGAAATAATGTTAAAATTGTTTTTGCCCAATGTTTACTTGGATTGATATTTAATATACCTTTATGTAGCTGGTGTACTGTGATTTTTGTGAAGCAAATGACTCTTAAGTACGTCTGGGATCATTGCAAGATGCAAAATTAATGGGATTCGTTCTAACAGATGGCATGAAAAAAGCGGGCGTCGACCTCAGGTTATGAAAAAAGGTTTCAGGTTAGCGAAAGTTTCTAACTGGGGTGCAGTTGAAAAATTGTGCAACAGTACCAAGTTGTATAAGCCTGCAGCAATAACATTATACAATATATAAAATTGTATACAAGGTCTCCGAGGACAGCGAGATGTCTCCTCCGAAACTCTTTGTATATATATACACAGACTTAAAAGTTATTTTAGTTCTGAACAATGTTAAAAATTTAAGTAAACTTGCTAATGTATTAGAGAAATATGCTACTGAGGAGGTCTCGTCGACTCTCCCACAGCTAACAGGTTGTGAGTCCGACACCAGACCAAGCGTGATGGACACTTTTACTAGACGAGGTTGGCAGCGGTGCACATTGCGACCGCCCAGGGAGGCGTCGGCGGTGCACGTCCCGACCACCCAGGGAGGCGTCGGCGGCGCACATCCCGACTGCCCAGAGAGGCGTCGGCGGCGGTGGCGCACGTCCCGACCGCCTGGGGAGGCGTCGGCGGCGCACGTCCCGACCACCCAGGGAGGCGTCGGCGGCGCACGTCCCGACCACCCAGGGAGGCGTCGGCGGCGCACATCCCGACCACCCAGGGAGGCGTCGGCGGCGCACATCCCGACTGCCCAGAGAGGCGGCCGAACTACAGCTGGAAGGTGACCTGGAGGAAGCAACTTAAAGCAGCATCTTCAAAATGAACTGGATAAGAAGGCATCTGACCTGATCTTCACGCTCCCGTAGCTCATCTGCGGCGGGGCGGCAGGACACGCTGCAATATCAAAAACAGAGTGGAAAAAACATTGTGAAAACCAATGACATTAATCAAAATGACAATAGACTTGGTTGTGTGTTGAGAACACAAGCTAGAGGTATAGAACAAGGGTTTAGAATTTAAACAAAAAACAGGCCTATTAAGCCTTTATGGTCGAGCACAAAAGTTGAGCTTTAATAGCATGGGTTGAGGGTGATGAACAAAAGCACAACAATTATAAGGGATTCATATAAAACAATAGTTCATAGTGAATAGTTAAATAGTTAAAATAATTAATAGTTAAAATAAATAAATTGATAAATACCTGGTAGGCTTTGTATACTTTTAAATATTTGCCTTTTGGCAATATGCTTCTTCTGGGGCCCCTCAACAGCTGTTTCACTGTTGTTGATAGTGTGAGAATGCTCGCTACGGGGCCTCTTGTTTACCTCCCCTTCTGTGCTGGAGTGGGGAATTGCCACCATCCATGAAACATATAATTATTATTATAATACCATCAATTAACTAATATAATTACTTAAAAAAAGATAACAAGAGCTATGATGTTTAATAAAGACGATTAATGACGATATAATTAATGATGAGTGAGAGGTTATGTTCTCACTCACTTTAAAACTCAAAAACTATTAGATGCCTTTTTTTTTTTTAAACCTGACTGGCCTATGTTACGCCTACACCACACATGTGTCATTTGTGAAATTGTGGCGATTCCAGCTCAAAGCCCCTGAACTCCAACTTTGAACAAACATACTTTTTTTTGTAGATATAGTGTATATATATTTAATTATGTGCTATTTGGTACTGTGTATTAGGCGTCCACGACCCAATTCATAGTGTATTTGAATCAGTTAATTACTGACTGGTGTTCACACTCACTCAGCAGCAAGATGGGTCATGAAGATCAGCAATAGCAGCATCGAGGTAGCCCTCAGCCAAGCATCCATCATCTCCTTGCTGATGCTGCTGCTCTCACTTCAGCACCTGTATGGAAAAGCAAGACTTTGTTAACCGAAATGTTGAAGATACATCTTTTTGGACACCACTATGCATCCCTCGTCTTCCTTCCTTTCATAATCTGCCCGAAACGCTTTGCGTAATAGTGGCTTTAAGCATTGTATGTACTAGCTCTATCTATAAATCTATCAATTTATGTAAAATCTCTTGTATGTATGTATGTACCTTGCCTGAATAAACATTTTAATTTATCTATGCTTCTTATGTCACAGCGTTTGGGCCATACAATGGACCAAACGCTGGTTGCTTTTTGGTTGACCAATTTGGTTGGGGAGCCGGTCGACCGAGCGGACAGCACGCTGGACTTGTGATCCTGTAGTCCTGGGTTCGATCCCAGCCGGCGAGAAACAATGGGCAGAGTTTCTTTCACCCTATGCCCCTGTTACCTAGCAGTAAAATAGGTACCTGGGTGTTAGTCAGCTGTCACGGGCTGCTTCCTGGGGGTGGAGGCCTGGTCGAGGACCGGGCCGCGGGGACACTAAAGCCCCGAAATCATCTCAAGATAACCTCAAGAATCCGTCTCTCTCACCCCAGAAACCAAACCTAGACAGCTGCCCCCTCAAGCCCAGCTCAGGTTGCTATCCGGTCTTGATGTCAGAGTGGCTCTGGAGCCAACAGGACCTGAGGACAGGGACGTCAGGGAATAGGTTAATACATTGAGTAGGAACCGGGTCGTGGCTAAGAAATTGTTGTTGTTACAGATTTGCTACCTGGAACAAAGTTCCAAGTAGCACGGGCTATGGTGAGCCCATAGTGCCTTTGGCTAAGAAATGTCAGGTTGGTGGGATTACGAGCTCAACCATACTACCAACGGGTGAGAATAGCTTGAGGTATCTCATCCCTATGTGTGTATTTATACCTCAATAAACTTATTTCAACCGTACAAGCACATCTAGGTGATCAACATCTAGGCGAGTACGTACGTGTGTACACACACACACACACACACACACACACACACACACACACACACACACACACACACACACACACACACACACACACACACACACACACCATAAGTGTTTTCACAGCCTGCACGAGCCTAGATCAAAATATTTTCAATATACTTGGTGAGGTTGAGCATCAACCAGCGACGAAGGTTACCTTCCAAGGCTGGAGAGAAGACTCGTGCAGTCAGACAGTTTCCCCTCACTCTGACCTCCATGGATAAACTGAGATTGACGAAACCCAATAATTAATTCCCGGGTAGTAGTAGGCATCCATCAGTCTCAGGAGACTATGGAGTTGTGCTCTGATTGTCTGGAGTGGCCTCACCAGGGCGCAAAGCCTGGGTAGGTTGATACGGGGAAAAAGCTGTTACCCATGCAGCAGGTCCCCCCTTCTCCACGGTACATTGACAAAAAAACAGGCATCCGCCAAGTCCATCCACGAACACAAAACTTAAGATGACTGACAAACTGAAAGAATGGTCCAGCACATGATTAATAGAGTTTAAAACTCGAGTGCAAAGCTATGGAACCATGAGTAGGAATCATCGATTGATAAAGATTAAGCCATCTCAGAGGAGGCATGGGCATGAATAGCCCGAAATCATTGAGAAACCTGTGAGGATACATTCTCCCTACGGCACAACGTCATCCCGGGATCAGTGACGTGGCCATGACGTCACAAACCTCCTAGACTACACATGAACCTCAGTAAGCTCAGAAGCCGCCAAATAGCTAATTGGTTAGTACTATAGTTAACTACTCCCGCCTAAGAATGGGAATAGTAAATAAAGCTATTATAAGCCGTAGTAAATATAAAGTAAAGCTAGAAGTCGTAGTAAATATGCTTGCCGCCAGAGGTCACTAGCTGGAAATAGGTCGTGCGAGTCATTAGGTCAAGCTACAGAGCGCACAAAGTCATCGGAAGTCCTCGCACACGGCTCGAAGTCCTGCGTACTTCAGGAAATTAAATAGAGTAACTGGAGAGCGAGACCGTGATCCTTATGTGATGATCCTCAACCTTAAAGCTCGAAGTCGAAGTGATAGTCGAAGTCGAGAGAGAGAGAGACTTGCTTTAACCCCACACCCAATAAGCCTTGAATTCGGGCCAGATTCACGAAAACACTTACGAACCTGTACATCTTTTCTCAATCTTTGACGGCTTTGTTTACAATTATTAAACAGTTAATGAGCTCCGAAGCACCAGGAGGCTATTTATAACAATAACAACAGTCGATTGGCAAATTTTCATGCTTGTAAACTGCTTAATAAATGTAACCAAAGCCGTCAAAGATTGAGGAAAGATGTATACGTTCGTAAGTGCTTGCCTAAGTGCTTTCGTGAATCTGGAGCCAGGCTGGGCTGGAGCCTTGCAAGCCAGATTGGACCAGGATTACAAACGACAAACACTGCCACCAAACACACACACACACAATAGCGTGTGTGTGGTGGAAGTGTTTGCGTAGGTGTCTGATGAAACATTTCCAGCGTTGTTGGCTGCATTTGATTATTTAATATATTTTTCTATCATCTTATAAGTTAGAGTTCAGCCAGGCTTCAGAAAAAACACACTCGTCAACATATGATGTATGTATATACATGCATGTATTATAACGGATAAGAATATGTTGTATATCGCGTTTCTTTGTTTCTGTAAAGTGAGTCTTGTCTGTCACTTAACTACCGGTTCAGGTGATTACATCCGTTCTCGAGCATGCGCCTGTACTCTTTACATGTAATTTAACGAGTACACGTGACTACACTTGTATTCGAGTCATGTCTACACACATGGGCCTCAGTGCAGTTTCGTATGTCAACACATCAAATTACAGGTACACTTACCTCTCGGCCACACAGGTGTCAACACCTCCACACAACTGCTTCCTCCACACCCGGCCAGCTGACTGAGCAGAGGCCGGGCTGAGAGACTGGAGGAAGGGAGGGAGGGTAGGGAGGAGAGAGAGAGAGAGAGAGGGTGAGAGAGAGAGAGAATGAGAGACAAAAACAGAGACCGTGAAGGAGGTAGAGTACCTACGGCTAATATAAACGTTGCTCGAACAAAAATAAATAAGTTTAGTTTTCCCATTATTAATTTTTGTAGAGAGCACGAGATAACAAGATCTAACCTAACCTTCCCTAGGTCTAATATAGTACGTATTTCCAGAAGTTTATAGGACTAATATTTCGTCTTTTAGGTGGAAAACAGCTTAATTAAACTAATGATTATGCTGGTTCAGTGTTTTTGTGGATCCTACAGTCTATATTACACAGATTACATGCATAGCTACAACCCGTTCTCGACTCAAGTCCATTCCATCTAGCGGTCGATTCCCAACAGACGCATTCATGAATTTTTACATGTTGTTCATTCAAAACATGGATTTTCTCAAATATAAATTAATATAGGGGGTACCACCTCTGGTGCAATAATAGGGACCCACAGCCTCAGAGAAGGGAACACAGAGCATTCAGAGAAAAATTTGCCATTAATATTATAATATATTTGCATATATGGGCATATTGGTTAGGTGTTTATGTTGGCAATTATTTGTATTTGTAGTACGTGGGAGAAGCATTTACCGAGTTGTGGTTCGAACAAAATTCGTCAGTGAAGCACTTGTTCCGGAAGTGTTCGAACGTCATCAGTTTTGAGTCGTGTGTAAATCGTTTTTCATTCATAAACAGCTGGGGGTTTGGCGGGTGGCATGGAATGGACTTTGGCCCTTTGGACGGACTGACGGCTTGGCTGTTATGTTGTCTAGTTCGTCACGTCTGGAACACAACAAAGTGTCTCAATCGCTGCAATGAAACCCGAGTTGAACGGCTCAGTCCTCAACTTCCTTTTGTTGACACAACAATTGTCGTTGTCTCTCAAGTATCACGTGTCTGGGTTTTACATATTTTTCTTTCATGTGTACATAGATTATATTTCCATTTTTCGTCATTCTAAGATATTTAATGATATGTCATTAATTAATAATAATTCGTTCTCATTAATTAATAATAATTCATTGTCATTTATTAATAATAATTCATTGTGTCGGGGGACAGGAAGCCAGTATATTTAGGTCCACTCCCCCCCCCCCCTCCCAGGATGTAACTCTACAGTAACTGTGTATCCGGCTCCAGGTTCGTTATATCAAGGCCGGATTTGTAGAGAATGTATAATTGTTCTCTCCTATGGGTCATTGTTCCCAGTCTAGAGGCAAGACACAGCTTGGATTTGTGTGAATTGGGTGGATGGAATGGATGGGGTTGGAAACGGGATACGCTTGCGTGTGTGTGTCTCTGCGTGCGTGTGTGTGTACTGACCTAGTTGTGTTTGCGGGGGTTGAGCTCTGGCTCTTTGGTCCCGCCTCTCAACCGTGAATCAACAGGTGTACAGATTCCTGAGCCTATTGGGCTCTATCATATCTACACTTGAAACTGTGTATGGAGTCAGCCTCCACCACATCACTTCCTAATGCATTCCATTTGTCAACCACTCTGACACTAAAAAAGTTCTAATATCTCTGTGGCTCATTTGGGCACTCAGTTTCCACCTGTGTCCCCTTGTGCGTGTTCCCCTTGTGTTAAATAGTCTGTCTTTATCTATCCTATCAATTCCTCTGAGAATCTTGTATGTAGTGATCATGTCCCCTCTAACTCTTCTGTCTCCCAGTGACGTGAGGTTTAATTCCTGTAGTCTCTCCTCGTAGCTCATATCCCTCAGTTCGGGTACTAGTCTGATTGGCTGTTGTCCCCAAATCACATCACGGCTCTCAACCAATCGCCGGGCGAGTTTCAGTGTTGACACTCTCAATTCAATTCCTTTCTTTATTATGCACCCCATACCCATCCCGTGGGCGGTGGTGTACAGGGGTTACAGAGGCACACAATGGGTTAATGGCACCTTTGGCCTCTTCTCAAGACTATTGTGACGCTAAGGCACAGAGGCGATCACAGTTTGGCTATTGAATTCCTTGATAACGTATTTTAGCTTCTTAATCACCGATTTGATATCCTCTTTTGTGATATCACAATGAACAACCAGTCGGGCGGCATATTCTGTGAACGGCAATATTCGAACGACGACCCTCTGTCCTGTGGCTTTGGCTTCCTCCTCACTCACCTGACAATGAACAATGAATGATTAAAGGCAAGACTGAAATAAATATCACGCTAATTCATTGATTATATATAAATTATTATCTATGTATATAATATAATATATCATCATTAGCAGTGGTCAATGTAATCTGTGCATAACCCAAGGAACAAATCCACAAGGGCCGTGACGAGGATTCGAACCTGCGTCCGGGAGCATCCCAGACGCTGCCCTTAATCGACTGAGCTACGACACGGTAAAAAGAATTGCAGACGGAAAATCATCTTGATATACCATCCGGGCCCTTGTGGATTTGTTCATTTGATGCATCACGCTATTGTGATTTCTGTGTTTAATTTCTTAAAAAAAAAAACATATATACAAGTACACATATTTTGAAGAAAAGGGAAATAAGTAAAATAAATTAAAGTCTCGGTTTTCTGGGGTCATGACCTTGTGTGACCTACCTGACCCATCCTTTGACACAGGTGGCCTGGGGTCATGACCTTGGGATCGCACTCCAGGAGCAGGATGTTGGTGTGGGCTCCCTCTGGGTCACACTTGACCACCTCACTCTCACACTCCACCACGGCTGTGTGAGGGTAGAATATCAAAAATATTATTTTTATATTCTCTAAATGAATATAAAGAATATAAAGAATATAGAGAATATAAAAAGGGCAGAAGGATGTTATTGAACAATCTTTAACCTTATAATAAGAAAGTTAACAGAGTAACTAACGACAGGAGAATATTAAACATAATGCTACACGTGTTATACGAGTTTATTCCACCCACCTGGACCCCAGCCACTTGGGCAGGACGGTAGGGCGACGGTCTCGCTTCATGCAGGTCTGCGTTCAATCCCCCGACCGTCCACAAGTGGTTGGGGCACCATTCCTTCCCCCCCCCGTCCCATTCCAAATCCTTATCCTGACCCTCTTTCCAAGTGCTATATAGTCGTAATGGCTTGGCGATTTCCCCCTGATAATTTCCCTTCCCTTCCACCCACCTGGGTTCTAGGAGACTCGAACCCTGGATCCCCACGTGTGTGAAGCCACGAAGCTCTATCGAGAGCTATTGAGTGGTCTTAATAAGGAAAGTTATATATACGTGCATATGCAGCCACAGCTGAGCTCGGTGAATGGTCGCCGGACACACAAGATGGGAAAGGCAGTAACGGGAGTCAAACAGGGACAAGAATTTGTTGCAGGTGGGTACAGTTCCTACCTCTGGCGACGTCCTGCAGATTGCGGTGATCGCGATCAAGTGTAGTTTCAAAGCGGTCGAGCGCGTAGATGCCTGCGGCCGCCAGGATGCCAGCCTGCCGCATGGCTCCACCCAGGACCCTCCGCAGGCGGCGAGCACTGTGGGTGGTAGGGGGGTAGGATGATATGAGGGCGGGACGTATCATGTTAATGAGACCATGGAGCGATAGCTCTCAAAAATGAGGTCAAAAAATGAGGTCAACAGGTTAAAGTAAGGCGACGGATTTTCTGCCCAAATACACACAAAAAACTCAAAAGGTGATCACCTGCGAATGAAGTCCGCTGAGCCAGCGATGACGGAGCCGACGGGCGCTCCCAGGCCCTTGCTGAGGCAGATGTTGACGGTGGAGCAGTCCTGGACGAGCCTGGAGGCCGGGAGCTGGAGCACTGTGGCCGCGTTGAACAGCCGGGCGCCGTCCATGTGTAGCGGCAGACCCAGCTCCCGGCAGGTGGCTCCTAGCTGAGATGAATAGATAAAGAAATAAATTGTGGAAATTGCAAAAGACCTTTTATCTGGCAAGTTTCTAATTCCTGGGCTTTGCCATCCTTCGCTGAATGCGCTCAACGGAATTTATGGCAATGTTATGGCGACCAAAACTGAACTACATAATCTAAATGGGGCCTAACACGAGCAGACTGCAACTCTTGATTAAATGAAGGTGGGATGGACCTTGACTTACCTGAGGTGACTTAAAGGTGGTGAAACGATAATTATGCAATCAACAATTATCTGAAGGTGAGTCTATTGTAGTTAAAGACCTTATATAATGAGATCTATTACCACAAAAGAGCAGACTGGTGAGAAATATCGCCTTGGTCGTGAGAGGCATTCTGTCCACGTCCATTTGTCTCACCAGTGATGCAGCTACCACTGCCGACACACACACACCCGGGGCTACAGCTGAGACATGGATCATGATAGCCCAGTGGCCGGGGTTATCAAGCAGCTGGGCCACTACTCAGGCAACTTTTAATGCTTAGAAATTAGACCACGATGCATGAGTTTCCGAATGTGGATATTCCTCGGAAGACGCCTCCCGGCCGAGTGACCTCCGGAGGAGCTCTCGCAGCTTTACGTAAACTTTTACGTAAAATTTGCCTGAATGCAATAGAATACCTTCAAGCTTCTTACGAACTTTTATGTTCACTTGCGAAGAAATGCACCTCACTCGTTGAATCAACGTCCAGAACCCTCCTTTCTGCAAGCTTCCTGGATCTTTATCATATCGTAAATAGTGAAAACAAAATGTGTATATCCTAAAGAAACACCAATAAAAGATTTCAAGGCACCACCTGACCTTGGATAATAGTCTGGGGCTAGATTCACGAAGCAGATACGCAAGCACTTACGAACCTGTACATCTTTTCTCAATCTTTGGCGACTTTGTTTACATTTATTAAACAGTTAATAAGCTCCGAAGCACCAGGAGGCTGTTTATAACAATAACAACAATTGATTGGCAAGTTTTCATGCTTATAAACTGTTTAATAAATGTAACCAAAGCCGTCAAAGATTGTGGAAAGATGTACACGTTCGTAAGTACTTGCGTAACTGCTTCGTGAATCTGGCCCCTGAATCTCACCTCATCGAGCCAGGCGAGGGACAGGACCTTCCCGCCGACCATGTTGTGAGTGTTCTCCACGCAGACAAGAGCAGTAACGGGCCACATGTCATTCTCGCCTCGCACCTTCTGCCGCAGCTCCTCCAGGCTGAAGGTCCCGTCGGGCAGGTTCTTCAAGGTCCGCGGGTGTACCCCGCCCACCTGCAAGGCATCGGAAGAGACACACAGGAAGAAAACACACATATAGTGGCTGGCCAGACCCTTACTCAGGGGAAGGCACAGGGAAATGAGTCTTGCTGAAGATTGAAAGGACACACATAGTGAGCGGGGGGGGGGGGGACACATAGTGAGCGGGGGGGACACATAGTGAGCGGGGGGGACACATAGTAAGGGGGGACACATAGTAAGGGGGACACATAGTGAGGGGGGGACACATAGTGTGGGGGGGATACAAGGAGACTTACCTCCTAAAAGGCAGGGAGACAGTCACAGGAAAAGGGTGAGAATGTGGATTTTCCCGGCTGACCCTGTACCACGGCTGTGTGATAACCGTGGTACAGGGTACAACCGTGGTACAACGGTGGTACAGGGTACAACCATGGTACTGGGTACAGGCCAGCAAACACTCAGATCAGAGGCGAGGACCCCCAGTAGGAAGACAAGAGAATGGTTCCCAGGTAGTGAGAGAGAGAATATAACCTTCAAAACACATCATTGAATATTAATAACAAAGGAACCATACTAATATTTTAACTACAATATTGAACTTATAATATCTCGTGAAGACTAGAGGACCCAACAGCTCCGGGTTTTTAACCCTCTGGCTAGTTAAAAAAATGGTTTCTCTCCGCGCTGTGGCCTTAGAACAACGCCGCTATCGTTTGATAGGTAGACGACCTCCAGTCTAACTACCCGACCACTCGTACAGCTGCCTCCAACAGCCTGGTTGGTCAGAGCACCAACCAGAGAACGTAGCTCCCAGGACCAGGCAACCACAAGGAGCGGATCGACCTGACTCTTTTCACTGGCAGCATGTTCACTAGGAAACATTTTGGTGGTGACGTGAGATGAGTCTCATCTCAGATGTGACTCGCCTGGGTGATGTGACTCACCTGGGTGATGTGACTCACCTGGGCGATGCCTCCCTGCTCACACAAGTGGATGTGACTGAGGTGCCCCAGGAGCACTTCACTGCCTCGGTGTTGGCAGTGGTGAAGAACTGTGGACAGTGATGGTGGTTAGTGGTGGTGGTGGTGGTTGTTGTTAGTGGTGGTGGTAACTGTTAGTGGTGGTGGTTGGTGGTTGTTAGTGGTGGTGGTGGTTGTTGTTGTTAGTGGTGGTGGTGGTGGTTGTTGTTAGTGGTGGTGGTTGGTGGTTGTTAGTGGTGGTGGTGGTTGTTGTTGTTAGTGGTGGTGGTGGTGGTAACTGTTAGTGGTGGTGGTTGGTGGTTGTTAGTGGTGGTGGTGGTTGTTGTTGTTAGTGGTGGTGGTGGTGGTTGTTGTTAGTGGTGGTGGTTGGTGGTTGTTAGTGGTGGTGGTTGGTGGTTGTTGTTAGTGGTGGTGGTAACTGTTAGTGGTGGTGGTTGGTGGTTGTTAGTGGTGGTGGTGGTGGTAACTGTTAGTGGTGGTGGTGGTGGTTGTTAGTGGTGGTGGTGGTTGGTGGTTGTTAGTGGTGGTGGTTGTTGTTGTTAGTGGTGGTGGTGGTTGGTGGTTGTTAGTGGTGGTGGTGGTTGTTGTTAGTGGTGGTGGTTGGTGGTTGTTAGTGGTGGTGGTTGGTGGTTGTTAGTGGTGGTGGTGGTGGTTGTTGTTAGTGGTGGTGGTGGTTGTTGTTGTTAGTGGTGGTGGTTGGTGGTTGTTAGTGGTGGTGGTTGGTTGTTGTTAGTGGTGGTGGTGGTGGTTGTTGTTAGTGGTGGTGGTGGTGGTTGTTGTTAGTGGTGGTGGTTGGTGGTTGTTAGTGGTGGTAGTTGGTGGTTGTTAGTGGTGATGGTGGTGGTGGTTGTTAGTGGTGGTAGTTGGTGGTTGTTAGTGGTGGTGGTGGTGGTTGGTGGTTGTTAGTGGTGGTAGTTGGTGGTTGTTAGTGGTGGTGGTTGTTGTTGTTGTTAGTGGTGGTGGTTGTTGTTGTTAGTGGTGGTGGTTGGTGGTTGTTAGTGGTGGTGGTGGTTGTTGTTGTTAGTGGTGGTGGTTGGTGGTTGTTAGTGGTGGTGGTGGTGGTTGTTAGTGGTGGTGGTGGTTGTTGTTGTTAGTGGTGGTGGTTGTTGTTGTTAGTGGTGGTGGTTGGTGGTTGTTAGTGGTGGTGGTTGGTGGTTGTTAGTGGTGGTGGTGGTTGTTGTTGTTAGTGGTGGTGGTTGGTGGTTGTTAGTGGTGGTGGTGGTTGTTGTTGTTAGTGGTGGTGGTTGGTGGTTGTTAGTGGTGGTAGTAGGTGGTTGTTGTTAGTGGTGGTGGTGGTGGTTGTTGTTAGTGGTGGTGGTTGGTGGTTGTTAGTGGTGGTGGTTGGTGGTTGTTAGTGGTGGTGGTGGTGGTTGTTGTTAGTGGTGGTGGTTGGTGGTTGTTAGTGGTGGTAGTAGGTGGTTGTTGTTAGTGGTGGTGGTGGTGGTTGTTGTTAGTGGTGGTGGTTGGTGGTTGTTAGTGGTGGTGGTGGTGGTTGTTGTTAGTGGTGGTAGTAGGTGGTTGTTGTTAGTGGTGGTGGTGGTGGTTGTTGTTAGTGGTGGTGGTTGGTTGTTGTTAGTGGTGGTGGTTGGTTGTTGTTAGTGGTGGTGGTTGGTTGTTGTTAGTGGTGGTAGTTGGTTGTTGTTAGTGGTGGTGGTGGTGGTGGTTGGTTGTTGTTAGTGGTGGTGGTTGGTGGTTGTTAGTGGTGGTAGTTGGTGGTTGTTAGTGGTGGTAGTTGGTGGTGGTTGTTGTTAGTGGTGGTGATAGCTGTTAGTAGTGGTGGTTGTACAGTACAGTCAACTGTGGTAGTTGATAAATATGATACTGAATATATCATCCACTCAGAAAAAACACAAAAATATAATGAATTTTGAATGACTATTTAAAATGACTGACCCACGTGAGGCCGCTCCTATTGACCCTTGTAAGAGGGACTCTATTGACCCACGTAAGGGGGCTCCTATTGACCCACGTAAGGGGGCTCCTATTGACCCATGTAAGGTGGGCTGCTATTGATCCACGTAAGGGGGGCTGCTATTGACCCACGTAAGGGGGCTCCTATTGACCCATGTAAGAGGGCTCTCCTATTGACCCTTGTAAGGGGGGCTGCTATTGACCCTTGTAAGGGGGGCTGCTATTGACCCTTGTAAGGGGGCTCCTATTGACCCATGTAAGGGGGCTCCTATTGACCCACGTAAGGGGGCTCCTATTGACCCATGTAAGGGGGGCTGCTATTGACCCACGTAAGGGGGGCTGCTATTGACTGGACTCACCACAGATGAGGTTGGCCATGGTGCCGCTAGGGACGAAGAGACCCGCTTCCTTGCCCAACATAGCCGCCACCTTCTCCTGCAACGCTGTACCAGAGTGCAATATTGCAGCAGAAGAAATATAAAGGTTAGAATACAAAATACAAAAAAGAGAGGAGTCTGCAGTATACGAGATTCTGTATTATACAAGAGTTTAATACGCATACCAAGAGCAGGTTACAAAGGAATTTAAACTGAATTATTGATTAGCTAGTTACAGAGAGCTTGTTATTCACATCATAAGACTATTTGCTTTTGGTTAGTTTAGTTTAATTAAGAAAAAGCTAAAAAAAATAACACGTACTGGATCCGGTTCTGAATTCCATTTTATTGCACAACTGTTTAAGTCGGGGAGGGGGGGGGGGGAACTAGCCTCCCCCCCACCTGCCTGCTTCCACCTGCTTGCTCTTACCATTCACGGTGGGGTCCTCGCCGAAGACGTCGTCGCCTAGAGGGGCCGTCATCATGGCCTCCTTCATAGCCTGGGAAGGGTGGGCCACGGTGTCGCTACGCAGATCCACTACTCGGCAGCCTCCACCAGCTGGGCTCTGGGGATTGATGATTGATGAAGATTAAGCCACCCAAAAGGTTGCACGGGCATGAATAGCCCGTAACATGGCTCTGGGGAATGTAGTGGTATAGGTGGGTACCTGATGTGGTAGCTTCTTCCATACAAAAGGAGTATGGATGAATAGTGACCCGCTCCTGTGCCAGGTTGGGCTATGAGTAGTCTTAATAAGGAATGTTTTCTTATTAAGCTATTGAGACTACTCAATAGCTCGGTTGATAGAGCTTCAGCCGGTCCATAGTTCGAGTCTCCTAGTGCCCAGGTGCCTCTAGGAAACAGCCTAGATAAATCTAGACACCTAGATTTACCCGTAATGAGGGTTCGAACTTATGTTTTGGGTACTATGCCCAGAGCATAGGTTCGAATCGTCATCAGGACTCTTACTGATTTTCTCAAAGACTTGATGGAGTTAAAATCTTTACATAAAATACACAAATGTCTTCTTCTCTGGTATATTGCCACTCGAGGCCTTATTCCATTGTTGCTGGTGCTGGTGATTAGTGTTGATTGGTCTGATATCAAGACTCCTTATTCTCTACTATCTTCACCACTTCAACTCTCCTTATCATTAGATCTACATGTCTTATAAAGATAGCCAACCCGCGCCACTACCCTCAGAGCACTGTGGAGAAATGCCCGATAGACCGATGGAACATTATCTAACACTGGACAGTTACAACCACAACAGACCACTGGAACATTATCTAACACAGTGCACAGTTACAAACCCATTAAGATTTCAACTAAAGATTCAACAGAGCAGAAGAAGTTGTTAAACACATATGGCAAAATCTTACTGAAGCGACCATACGAGTCATAAATACTCATACTCCGCTCAAGTAAAACAGAAACAAGCAACACTTAGTTGCTTAGGGCCCGCCCAGTGGGCCAGCCAGAGGCTTAGGGCCCGCCCAGTGGGCCAGCCAGAGGCTTAGGGCCCGCCCAGTGGGCCAGCCAGAGGCTTAGGGCCCGCCCAGTGGGCCAGCCAGAGGCTTAGGGCCCGCCCAGTGGGCCAGCCAGAGGCTTAGGGCCCGCCCAGTGGGCCAGCCAGAGGCTTAGGGCCCGCCCAGTGGGCCAGCCAGAGGCTTAGGGCCGGCGCAGGAATATCCCTCAAAAAAAAATTATATAAAAAACCCAGGCGCTTTGCACCCATCTCCAACCCCAATGGAGATGGATTGGGGTTAGCGACGGTCTCGCATTATGCAAGACGGCGTTCAATCCCCCGACCGGCCACAAGTGGTTGGGCACCATTCCTTCCCAAATACTTATCCTGATCCCTTCCAAGTGCTATATATAGTCGTAATGGCTTAGCGCTTTCTTCTGATGGTTTTCTTACCCCCCTCCCCCCAGCAACTCCGGAGACATTCATTCACTAAACTTTCATCTCTAGCCATTATTGGCTCCCACACATCTGTTTATTTTTCAATACACATACAAGAAATTCTTGTTGTTGATTGAGAGGCGACGTAAATATATATGAAATCATTGCCATAAGAAAAATTAACAGACGCGCTAGTATTCACCAAAGTAAATTCAGTCAATATTCCTCCTGATGTGGTAGAAAGAGGTAAGTGGAAAATACACAGATAGACAGATATGTTTTGCTCACTCACATGTGTTTGTTCCTCCATGACACAGGGGCTCCTCCTCCCACACAGTGTCAACACACACTGGACGCTTGTGCAGCTCACGGTTGCCAGATCTCAGTTGCTAAAAGTAGCGAGCTAACGGTCTAAAAGTAGCGAATTTGTAATAAAAGTAGCCTAATTTTTTTTTTAGTGAATGATATGGGTTTCAAAGTAGTATATTTTGATATATCGAGTACACTACACGATGTTAATTGTTTTATTAATATTATTTCTGCACACACACACACACACACACACACATATATATATATATATATATATATATATATATATATATATATATATATATATATATATATATATATATATATATATATATATATATATATATATATATATATAAATAAAAAGGGAAGGGGGTGGTAGGAGAAAAGCACACAGAAACTGTATTGGAGGGGACCTACATTCCCTCCAATGCGTTATGTGTGGTTTCCTCCGAGGCTATGGGTCCCCCTTCTTCCAGCCAGAGGTGGTACTCCCTTCCCTATTTAAAAAAAATAAAAAAAAAAAAATATATATATATATATATATATATATATATATATATATATATATATATATATATATATATATATATATATATATATATATATATAACAATATAACAAGGGTTTTGTACATGTAGATAGCACACGAGAATGTGTAGAGTGAGTATATATGTTTAGCATGTTGAGGGACTTGAACAGAGGGGCTGTGAGTTAGGTTCTTTTAATTGCCTTATACAATTTAAAGAATGAAAAAGGTTTTCGTGCCTTAACATCTTTATATTATGATAATCACGACATATCTGCATTAAAATCAGTGTGCAATTCCGGTTTTAGCCTCCACCGCCTTCTCACTTGTTCCCTTGTAACTTGTAACTCACTTAATGTAACACTTATACGCTGTGCTTCCTATTTTAACCTGCTGTGTTAAATGGGATTCTTGTATTGTGATTTGTGTATTTGTACTCACTGAATTTGTGCGCCCCTTGAGGGACTTGATGTAAAGGGGGAAGGGATAGACATAGCCTAAGCTACTCTATCCCTTTGAGATGTATTTTTTTCTCTGCCCTCTGAAACATACTTGAACTTGAAGTGGACTTTAATGTTTTTTTCAGCAGCTTTATTTCCTTAGTTTCCGAGCTGTTTTCATTACCGTGTATGTTGTAATAAACTATTCCTATATTTACAGTTGTTTCTCCCTGTGAAGATTATTAAACAATGGTGATTATAAGGGCGCGGAAGTTGAGCCTGGCCAGGGCCGCCAGCAGCCCTTGGGCCCGCCCCGGCAGCACCCAGTCTTTAATTTGGCACCTTTGTGGTGCCTTTGTGGGACCTTGGTATAAGCCTAACATGTATATATACACTGGCTGCCTGTCCCCCTACACAATGATTTATTATTACCTATTATTTTATCATTTAATTTAAATATTAAATAAAATAATTTATTTAATTATTATAGTAAGTACTTAATAATTTAATAATAAGTAGTAAGTAAATAAAAATGATTAAAAAGTACAGTTTAGTCATAGGAGATTCCTAGATTGGAATTCACTACCAAATTTCAATATATCCAAGTATTTTTAGTGTGAAATGCTGTTATATGCATAAATTGTTGTTTTAATAATATTACGCTTAACCACTTGGGCTGGATGGTAGAGCGACGGTCTTGTTTCCTACAGGTCCGCGTTCAATCCCCGACTTCCCAAGAGGTTGGGCACCATTCCTTTCCCCCGTTCCATCCCAAATCCGTATCCTGATCCCTTCCGAGTGCTATATAGTCGTAATGGCTTGGCGCTTTCACTTGATAGTTCCTCCACCCCCTGAATAATATTACGAGAGCAGTATTTACGGGCTATTCATGCCCGTGCCACCTCTTGGGTGGCTTAATCTTCATCAATCGAGAGCAGTACGTCCTAACCAGACGTTATATGATGATATCCTGAACAGTTGATAAATAAAAGTAATTGCGGAACTCCAGTTATCTAATACTTATCATAAATGGTATAAAACCTTATCATAAGCCATTGGATTTGTAGATCAGTGTTTAAAGGGAATTCGGAAGTAATAATAATACAGCTGATGCCATCTGTCGGCAGAAGAGAACACTATCAACTGGCTGGTCAACAGTGGCCATAAGATACAGCTTACGCCATCTGTTGACATCAAATTACACTTATAACAAATTACCCCACAAAATACAACTAGCGCCATCTCTTTTTTTTCCAACGCACTATAAATAGCCAAACAGCAACCCATAAGGCGGGTTGTTGTGCTCGGGTAGGAGGTTCCAAGCTCCGCCCACAGATGGTATGGGGTGCATAATAAATGGCATATCATTGGTAGAAACTCTTTGTTGACATTCACACAACAGCCAATCACAGGAAGGGATCAGCTAAAGGCTCCATCCACTTAATAAATCATCTTTATTCAGCACACCATCCTTGCTTATGACATTCTGCTTCAACTTTAATCTACCTAAAAAGTGAAATGTTAAGTATTTAAAAGTATTAATATAGTGATAATTAAATACTGCAGGATGTAACGAGTGTTACAGAAACATGGGCTGGCTACCTAACTTGTGACGTCATCAGTGGGTGTTGCCTCACACAAATAATATCGGCGATACAATGCCTCCGTCCTCTTATTGGTCTACATTATTCAGTTAGATGGAAATTTCTGTCTTGTATAAAACAGAAATTGTTGTTCTTTTGTACAACAACAAGGTTATTGAGCAAAAGGACGTATTTCTTATTTTGCATTTTATTCATATAAGCGTTGGCATTCCCCGCAACAGCCAATCACAGGAAGGTATTTGTTGGAAACTCTGCCTTCAACAAAGTTGATTCCTAATGAACTCTAACAATAAATTCGTTTAATAAACGAGTATTTAGGGTCAAGCTACAGATGAACATTATAGGATAACGGTGTTTTAGCTTGCAGCTTCGTTAGACAGAATCCCTGGTCTTAATTTTAAAAATAAAGAACTAGAAAGCGTATTTTATTGCTAACTTTTCGAGAAATAAATCCCAGCCTAGAAACTCTTTGTTGACATTCACACAACAGCCAATCACAGGAAGGGATCAGCTATAGGTGCCATCCACTTAGTTAATCATCTTAGTTCAGCCCACCAGTCCTGCTTATGGAATTCTGCTTTAACTTTAATTTACCCCAAAAAAGTGAAGTGTTAATTATTTAAAGTAATAATTAAATAATGCAGGATATAACAGACGTTATATAAAAATGGGCTGGCTACCTAACTTGTGACGTTATTATTGGGGGTTCCCTTGACACAAATAATGATACTCTGCTCTGCCCTCTTATTCGAGTAAATTATTCAGTTAGATGGAGATTTCTGTCAGGTGCAAAACAGAAATTGTTGTTCTTTTTCACAACAACCTTGTTGTTGTGCACAAGGACCTATTTCTTAGTTTAAATTTTATTTATTAAAGAGTGTTGGTATTCCCCGCAACAGCCAATCACAGGAAGGTATTTCTGGAAGCTCGGCCTCCTTATGGACTCAGCACATCGCTCTAGCTCATGGCTCTCTGTTTCATCTCTTGTATATACAAACTATGACTTTTTTCGATTACTGTTATAATTAATAATATGAGATATAAAAGTTTTTACACAAAATGGCTAAATTCTGCCATTAAATGGACTTTGTCTGGTATACTTACAAACATACACCAATTTATTACCATTCATCCATTATTAATTTCAAATGTAATGTATACTGTCTAGTTTTTTTCCTCTCGCCATTACTTGGTGCAATATTTGAGTTGTCTATTTATTTATCGATTTATCTATTATCTTGTATTTATATTTACAAGTTTCTGTGCTTGGAAGAAAACTCTGCATTGAATTGGGACTAATTTATTAAATAATATTATTTAGTATTAATTAATATTTACAATTATTATTAATTACAATTATTTATAGCTTAGTTACTTTCATGTAACTCGCAATCGTACATTCTTAACATTAATAGCCCAAATTAGCACATCTTGCTTTTTAAATTAGCCCAAAAAGTAGCAAGTAGCGAAATTAAAAAATTGGGAGCGTGGGGCTCTCAAAAGTAGCCCAATTCGCTACTTGTAGCCCAATCTGGCAACACTATTCCATTTATTAACATTTAAAAAAAAACTATTCTTCGCGGCGGGGATCGTATTCCAGGGACCTGCCCGAAACGCTACGCGTACTAGTGGCTGTACAAGAATGTAACAACTCTTGTATATATCTAAAAAAAAAAAAAAAAAAAAAAAAACTACTCTGACACTGAAAAAATTCTTTCTAACGTCTCTGTGGCTCATCTGGGTACTAAGTTTCCACCTGTGTCCCCTTGTTCATGTCCCACCCGTGCTGAAGAGTTTGTCTTTGTCCACCCTGTCAATTCCCCTGAGAATTTTGTAGGTGGTTATCATGTCTCCCCTTACTCTTCTTTTTTCCAGAGACGTGAGGTTCAGCTCCTTTAGCCTTTCCTCGTAACTCATTCCTCTCAGTTCCGAGACGAGTCTGGTGACATACCGCTGAATCTTCTCTAACTTTGTCTTGTGTTTAAGTAGGTATGGACTCCCGGCTGGAGCTGCATACTCCAGGATTTGTCTTACATAAGTGGTATAGAGGGTCCTGAACGATTCCTTACACAAGTTTCTAAAGGCAGTTCTTATGTTGGCCAGTCTAGCATATGCCGCTGATGATATTCTTTTGATGTGGGCCTCTGGGGGACAGGTTCGGTGTGATATCAACCCCCAGATCTTTCTCTCTATTTGACTCTTGCAGGATTTCACCTCCCAGATGGTACCTTGTGACAGGAAGCCGGTGGCTTGCCAAGGTCCACCCATTTGCCTTGATCATTTATTGTTGGATTTTAAAATTTACAAGTGTTTTGGTATTTACGGCTTCAGCGTGTAGGCAGTTCCCTGGGTAAAATCCAAGATTTTACTTGAAATATGGTGAATTATATTGAATTTGTGAGAGTACGTTGAGAAAATAAGGGAGACTACACATGACTACACACGCAAGGTGAGTCTCTATGAATTCTGTACACTATACAGTATGGAGTACCCTGGAGGCTCCGCCATTCCCAGTGTGGC